AATTACTGACTCTTCCCATTTCCCTGCTCCTTCTTGTCGTTCCCCGTCAGCGGCGTTTTCTCGTGGTAGTCTTTCATGTAGTGACCCGTCTTCCCACACCGGTAACACGATCCCTTAGGAGGGCGGTCGGGTGTATGGACGGCGTTGATCGTGGTCCGATGGGTCTGGCCACGAAAACGGTTTCTCTCCCGGGAAGCTGCTCTCGCGTATTGCATCAGCGCATCCGTGGACTCCGCCAACTGTACAGCTGCAAGAAATGATGTCGGGCGGCCCCTGCGAACCTCGTACTGTATCTCGTATTTGAGGCCGCTGATATATTTATCCAGCCGTTCAGCTTCCGACATGTCATCAACATGGTCGGCGAGGCTCATAAATGACGCTGTGTAGTCTTGGACAGAAGCCATCTGCGACCATGCACGCAGCTTCATGCGAGCTTGCTACGAGGCGGATACGTGCTCGAAGCGACCTCGTAAGGCTGCGCCCCACTCCTTCCATGTGCGTATCGTGGTCACTCCGAAGATTGATGTTGCCACTTGATTAGTCACTGTTGAGGTCCCGTCTGCCGCATGTGTCACACCTGTTGGCGTCCCTGTTTCCAAGGTTCGGCGCCACCACTCAAGCGCTGCACCTCGAAGAAGGGAGACTGCGTAATTAATACGCGTGGCGTCGTCATTAACTCCGGCTGCAGTAAAAAAGACTTCGACTCCGAACAGCCACCCTTTTACCGTAACCGTTTTGTCCGTAGGATTAAACGGAGGTGGGTTGACGGGCTTTATATTGATCGTCGTCACTGCAACTGGTGCTGCTGCCGCTCGCTGCCTGTCCTCCTCTTCGAAGTCACGTGTGAGCGCATCCAATGGATTGCTCATCGCCTGACTGTTGCCCTCGCCTTCGTCCACAGGCGACTCCTGACGCGCTTCACCTCGCGTCTGGCGTAGCTCGGCGTTTTCCTCTCGCAGTGTCGTCACTTCCGCCATTAACGACTTCATGCTTTCCTGCATTTCTGCCACTTGCGCCATCATCCTGTTTACTGCCTCCTGATCCATGTGCCTAACGCTACGTCTGGTGGGCAGTCGGGTCTCCGTGGCCTTCAGGCAAATGAAAACACGAACTATCGGAGTCGGGCAGGATTGAATTAACAATCCCTGCGGCCAACCGTCGTGCAGTCACTAACCAGCCACACCCTATGCCACCAAACTACCCTCGGAAAAGCGGGGTGAACTAGGAAAGTAGCTCTGATACCAGGTGTTATGAGTTGTAAAGGAGAGTGCGCATGTAAACGAATAACGAGGCTGTGACTGAATGAATCTGAGAATACAATGAATGCACAGACTATTATAGGACTAGCCTAACCAGGAGGAAACCTCGGGTGGCGAGGTTGGGTGCAAGTTCGGCGATGGAAATGCCGAAGGCGACGCGAGGAGCCTCGGCAGCGTTGAAATCGGCCGAACGTGCAAACACCGAAAATCGGGTTGTACGCGAAGCAGTCAACCCCGATAAGGAATTCGGGAAAATTCCTTACAGATTCTGAAAGATTTTGTGTGCGTTAGCTACCAAGGAGTTGACAAATCCTATCACTGAAACTGTTAGCCATGGTACAGTACCACAATGCTCACAGAACCTCCACTAGGCTTGGTACAAAAATGATTATTATAGAAGACAGTTCCCTGAGATATGTACAAGGGAGGAACACTCGGATTAGACATGCCACTTGGTGCCGTAACTATTGGACGCACCATGGCCCACAATGAAGCCATTGGGCTAATAGGGTAAGCTTCAATACGAAGAGAAGAGGCCAACAGAATTCAAACGAAGTGAGCAGGCGAGAGCAAGGGCGATCACATGGGTGTGTTGGCGAAGAGCTCTGGCAGATGGTTGTTGGTGTACTTGGTGCGCTTCGACTCCCGCTTCCTCTTCGCCTTGGGCTTTTGCGTCTGGAGGGGCGGAAACAAGAGGACTGATATGGAGGAGGCTTCTCACTTGTGCAGTCAACACATGCAACCCCACTACACCAGCACTACCTTCAGCCAGCGCTCTAGACAGCAGATCTCCCATGCCGCATTCCCCCTACTTCCCAGCTCCCTCCTCCCACCACCTCAACCACCGCGCCCCTCACCATTGCGACCAGCCCCATTGCAAGGCCTGCAGGCACAGCAGGAACGGCATGCTACCGCCTCATGCCTGCACATCCACACCACCCACCCCCCAACCCCCACCTTCCCCCTTTCCCTCTCTCTCTCCTCCCTCACCTGGGCGGTCATGGCGCCTTCGAGGGCCTGCAGGCGGCGCACGGCAGGCATGGCGGGGTTCTGGCCGCAGCGCTGCAGCTCCTTCTCGAGGTCGGTGAGGTCGCGCGGCAGGTCGATGCGGCGGAACAGCGCGCGGATGTCGGGGTCCACCTTGATGGCGATGCGCGGGTCGTTGGGGAACAGCACCTCATCGCCGCTGTCCGCGTTGAACAGCACCCACGCCTGCCCCATGGCGCGCAGCTCCTGCACGTGCTGCGCCACGGCGCTGTACGAGTCGCGCACGTCGCCCATGGGGATGCCGTCCTTGTGCTCGCGGATCAGCCTCAGCAGGTCGTCCCGACCCGCCAACTCGTGCTTCGCCTGCTCGTGTATGCGTTGCCATGACGGTTGAGGGGGGGGGAAAGGGCGAGGGAGAGGCAGGGAGGGTGGGATGGGGGAAGCATGGAGGGAGTGGGTGGAAGGTCGGATGGGCACAGTGGGGGTGGAATGGAGGAAACAGCAGGCAGGGCGCCACAACGCAGCAAAGGAAGGCGGCAGGCTGCACAGGCATGGCAGCAGAGGGCGTGGGGCCAGCACGGGGGGCACACCTTGTAGATGTAGGTGTTGCCGTGCACGGCGACCTTGGGGTTGGCACGCAGGCTGGCCTGCAGCTCGCGGCTGGTGGTGACGTCCACCATCGTCACCGCCTCCACCTGCTCCGCCGTCAGCCCCTGCCGCTCCTGTGCCAGCGCACGCACAGGGGGAGAAGGGGGACGGGGAGGGCAGGGCACGGGGGAGGTGGATGCATGCCGCGAGTCAGTAGCGCTTCAGACGGTATTGTACTTTTCCTTGCAGGAGGAGGTGGGCACGGGGAGGGTGGGGAGGGGAGGGCGTGGAGGGTGGGGAAGGAGGAAAGGGAGAGAGGAGGGGAGGGCGGGAAGGGGAGGCGAAGGGAGGGCGGGGAGGCAAGGGGATTATCCGCGAGCAGAAAGGGCAGGGGCGCTGGTTCCACCATGCCCGGCCTGCCCACCGCTCGCTGTGCGCATGGAGGCAGTAAAACTGCGCGCATGGTCGGCGCACTGATGAGGTAGCGCCTTCACGCAATTCGCAGCCCCCGCAGACCCCAGCACCAGCATGGGCAGCGGCGGCGCGCGGCAGCGGCAGCAGGGGCGGCGCGCTTACCCGGAAGAGCAGGTCGATGACCTTCTTGATCTTCTGCCCCAGCGGCAGCTGTCGCACGCGCAGCACCGCCTCGTACTTCCCCGCGTCCGCCAGCCAGTTCTCCGCCTGCAGCCCCTGAAACCCCACCGCGATGCCCTTTCCGCTCCCCGCAACTTCCCCCGCGACAGCGGTGCTCGCCGGCGCAGCGGCAGCGGGTGAAGGGGCGGCTTGGCGCCTGGCGGCTGTGGCGGCGGCATGGTCGACGACGGTGCGCGCCTGCACGCGCTCCTGCTGCCGCAGGAAGGCGGCGCGCTTGTCCTTGAGCATGGCGGCGACCGCTGAAGGCCGATAGCGATGGGGAGAGTGATCGCTCTAGTGGCACTCTCAGTGTGTCATAACAAGCATAAAAACACCGTGACGGGCGATGCAAAAACGAGGAGTGAAATCGGATGGAGAGCAGCGACTCAAGGTGAACGATAAACCAGCGATGGCTCAGAGCAACGCTCTTTCGAGGCGCTGTCCTTTATGCGAACTTGCACCCTTAGGCTTTTCTTTTGTACGTCTTCTTGGGACTTCAAGTGCTAGAAGAAATAGGGCTTTTTTTTCGGGCTGGGGTGGGTGCTCGCTCATGCGAAATCACGAAACGTAACCAGTGCTACTAATACGGGCGAACACGATTCGTCGAGCCTGTGGCTTCGTGTTTCGCAAGGCTCGTTACAGAAGCAAATCGTTTTGCCGTCGGACCTTTCTTCTTAGCTATACTGTACAGTTCGACCAACTTGTGTATCTAAAATATCGGACGGCACCTCGTGCACGGGCAAACACATGGCTGGGCTCCGATTCGCGCATAATTTTCGAGTCAGCCGCACGTGGTTCCGACTCAATGGAATCGTGCCACGTCGACTCCCGCACGTCACGATTCCCCCCACCACACCACCACTGTTTCTGAAACGCGCCATCACATATCCACGAGTTGATAAGTTCATTGTTGTGCCACGGCGCGCCTGTTCCAAGCACTGCAACGCTGACGCCCGTCCACTCACTCAAAACTCTCGCGCTCATAACGCTTCCCGCTTTTGGCGGAGCAGTGCTCTCAGCTGCAGGCGTCGCGTGCCACGCAGTGCGTGCAGCAGCGCAATGCAGTAGTCGCCACCAAGCGAGTGACGCCCAGTTGGCTCACACGGGAGCAGCGGGGAATGCGGGCGACGAAAGCCTCACCGGCAGAGCGCCGTGTCTTTCCAGCGGCGCGCTCAGCGCGTGAAGACGCGCTCGTGTGCGACAGCTCGCCGCGTTCCGCGCACACGAGTTTTTGAGTCAACTAAAAAACGCGACAGCTCGCCGCTCGCGCACACTCGCAGCGGGTCTCGCCGCTCGCAATCCCGGTCGCTAAGAGCGCCGATGCGCACGCCCGCTCGTCGCGCCGTCACGTGCTGTGAGGGCAAACAGCGCGGCGCGGGTCGTTGGCCAGGTGCCCACCTCCGCCCGCGTCTGTGCACAGGAACGTTCAGCGAAGCGCGCTAGCGCCAAGCAGCGACTCCGTTGGATCCCTGTTGAACGCCACGACGCTCCTCCCGCGGCACCCAGCCCCTCGCTATAGTCACAGCCATCGCCATGGGTTGCTGCCTGTCCAGCACGGCAGTGGAGCCGTCGTCCTCGTCATCACTCCATGCCGCCACGTCATCATCTCTCCCCCCTCACAAGCTCGTCAAGGACCCCATGCTGACGTCAGCGACCAAGGTGGGCCCGGAAGGTTCCTTGGAAGCTCATTACAAGCTTCTGGGCAACACGCTGGGGTGCGGCCGCGTGGCCTCTGTCAGGTGCGCTACCCGCTTGCCCCACTGCACTTCACTTCCGCCCCTGCTTTCCCCACCCGCCCGCCTGCATGCCCCCGTCCCCCTCGCTTCCCCCGCCGATGCTTTTCTCCCCACCTGCCCGTCGCCGCTTTCTCTGCCTTCACGAAAACCTTCTTTCCCTTTCGCCGCTTCTCCCCCTTCCTCTCCCCTTCCCTCTTCTCGCCCCTCGCCCCTTGCCCCTCCTCTCGCCCCTGGCCCATGACCACCATCACCACGCGCCCCTGTACGTGTGCGAGGGAGCAGGGAGGCAGTGGAGCGGGCAACGGGGGCGGTGGTGGCGGTGAAGGCATGTTCCAAGAAGGTTCTTGGAGCACGCCCCGCATACATCAGCCGCGTCAGTGCTGCTCTCTCGCCCACCGCGCCCATGCCACCCATCACTCCTGCATCTGCCAATCTCTGCTTTCTCCTCCTTACGTCACTCACCCTTGCTGCTCCTTCTGACCCCTACCCTAACGTCTCTGCATTGCCCCCAAAGAACCCACCCCGTCATGCTCTCCCCCCCGTGCGTCCCCCTTCTTCCCTGTGCCTCTCCCCTCACCTCTTCCTTGCCATCTCTGCACTTGACCGCTGCGCCTCACCGCTGCGCGCGCCGTCAGACCATCGAGATCGAGGCCCTGCAGCGGGTGAGCTTGCTCCCTGCCTCGCCCTCATCTCATTCTTCTCGCTTTCGATCGACCCACCTCATGTTGTATCTGACATGCGCTGCCCCATCTTCCACCTCCTTCCACTGCTGTCCTGCTGCCTCACTCACAGGGTAAAAAAAAACGACCGTGCTTTTGGAATTTTACCGTAAAAAACGGTACCGTAAAAAGCGGCCGTAAAAACGGTTCAAAACGGTTCCAGGAGGTGATTTTCGTTTGAAGGAAAAAACGGCCGATTTGTACCAGGATGAAGAGGACGACCCCCTCCTTGAATGTGTGCGTTTTTGGGCATGATTGAAAATGTATCCGACCTTGTCTTTCCCTTTTTTTCTTCGTGACAAAATTTCTCTAACAAAAAACGCCGCTTTTTTTAATATATTTATTTATTTACCGGAAAATACGGACCGTATTTTACGAAAACCGTATTTGTGAACCTTTCTCACTCACTGCGCCCTCCCCAAGCGCGGCTCGCCTCTCATCGGCAAGCTCCTTTCCCCCACTGCCCATGCACTTTCATCTCCTCCCTCGTCCATCCCTCCCACACCTTATCTCAACACAGCCCCTCACTTTCCTCCTGAGCCCATCTCTCCCCTTCCATGCCCACCTCCCCTCCCCTTGGCAGCTATGGGCAGCGCCAGCACCGGCATCGCCGCCCATAATCCGCCTGCTGGCAACGCACGAGGACAGCCGGCACCTGCACATCGTCACGGACAAGGCCCAGGGCGGCGACCTCTTCATGGCCCTCGCTGCACGCTGCTCCTTCACTGAAGCCGATGCCGCTCACATCGGTGCGTGGGGGTCATGCCATGCACAGCCCCTCTCTTGATTCATCCATCCCCCCCTCCCCTCCATCATCCCCCATCCCCATCTTTCCCCTCCCGCCTCCCCCATTCCCCCCTTCCCCTCCCCCGTCCCGCATCCCCATCTTCCCCTCGCCCATTCCGTTATATTCCCTAGCGTTCAACCTCCTCCATCGCTCCCCTCTCCCTATCCTCTCCCCTCTCCCCCTGTCCGCTCACCCTCCATCCATCAGCATGGCAGCTGCTGCAGGCGGTGGTTCTGTGCCATGAGCGGAGAGAGGTATGGGAGGCGCTGCAGTGTGCAGAGTGCTGTGTGCGCGCCCTTCATCCATCCCCTGCCACACGTTCCCCCCGTCACCATCATCCCCGCGCCCTCCTCCCCCAAGCAGCGCGGCAGCTGCTGCAGGCGGTGGCGCTGTGCCATGCGCGGGGCGTCACCCACCGCGACCTGGTGAGCACCTGCCTGCCCGGGGGGCGGGCTGGGGTGGTAATGACTGACAGGTGCGCGCTGCTGCCTGCGTGGCAGGGGGGCGTGGTGGGGTGGGCATGGGCAGCAATGGCATGCATGCTGGGAGGGGGCGAGTGGGCGCGGACTCAGTGCTTCACATCTGACACGATGCTGGCATGCTGAGGTGAGGTCACGGGATGGTGGGGTGACGGATTGAATGGATGACAGGTTGAAGGGGGGAAGAGAGGGAAAGGGGAGTTGGGTGGGAGATGAGAGACATTGCACATTGCAGGGTGGAGGGGAATGCCATGCAGTCATTCCACTGCACTTGCCTGTGAACCCCATGCTCTGCCCCTCCCCGATCGTGCTCCCCTCGTTTCATTCCCCCCACTCCTGCTCTGTGCATGTGAGACCCACCACCTGCCCTCGTTGCACACCCGTCCGCTCTCTCATCCCCTGCGACCCGTTTTGGTGTGGCAGAAGCCGGAGAACATCCTGCTGTCGGACGCGCACTCGCTCACCATCAAGCTCGTTGACTTCGGCAGCGCCGCGCTCTTCCACCCCACGCACGCCCCAACCATTGCCAACAGCACCACCAGTACGAGCGAGGCAGTGCCGGGCGCAGAGGGCGCGGTGGTGCTGCGGGACTTCATGGGCACGGCATTCTACGCCGCGCCTGAGGTGTGGCAACATGCGTACGGCCCCCAGGCGGACGTGTGGAGTGCGGGAGCCGTGGTGGCCGTGCTGCTCACCGGGCCGCCCCCCAGTGGACTCACCCGCGCCACCGTGCACTCCAATGCCACGTGGCAGGCCATGCAGGTGAGGGGCGCGCATGGTAGGTAGGGCCATGCAGGTGAGGGGCGTGCATGGTAGGTAGGGCCATGCAGGTGAGCGGCGCGCATGGTAGGTAGGGCCATGCAGGTGAGGGGCGCGCATGGTAGGTAGGGCCATGCAGGTGAGGGGCGCGCATGGTAGGTAGGGCCATGCAGGTGAGGGGCGTGCATGGTAGGTAGGGGCAGTGAGAGGCTTACCTTGTGAGGGGCTTGACGGGCAAGTGAGGTGTGGCGCCATGCATGAGGCCTGCAGGCGGACGTGTGCAGTGCAGGCGCTGTGGTGCTGCTGACGGGGCCGCCGCCCAGTGGACTCACTCGTGCCACCATATGCAGGTGGCAGTCCAATGCCACGTGGCAGGCCATGCGGGTGTGAGGCGCGCAGGTTAGGGGTGTGCAGGGGAGAGAGACGCACTGTTTAAGTGCATGTGCATGCTCATCTCTATGTGCATGTGCATATGAATAGAATGTGAATGTGCATGGGCATGTGCATGTTTATGTGAATGTGCATGTGTTTGCGAGTGTGAGTGTGAGTGTGAGTGTGCATGTGAATGTGAATGTGAGTGTGAATGAGCATAAGTGATGAATGCTGGGGCTGCCTGTCAGCTGTACCCAGCACTCGAGCCCATAAAGCTTCACATGCACTGCGCTTGATTGTTGTCTTTGTCGCGTTGTTTTGTTCGCTGGGACGCAAACAAGCACATTCACAGTTCACCGCACCTTCACTCGTGCATTGAGCACCTCAAAGCAAGGCTAAAAAATACGGTTTTCGTAAAATACGGTCCCTCTTCTACAGTGACTTCTCAAATATACGGCCGTTTTTTTTTAGAGAACTCTGGTCACCAAGAAAAAAAGGGAGAAACAAGGTCAAACACATTCTCAAACATGCCAACAAGCGCACACATGCAAGAAGGGTCCCATCCCCTTCATCTTGCTAAAATTCGGGTTCAATCTGGTCCCATAAAGTGGCCGATTTGTTAGTTAAACTGAAAACACCTCCTGAAACCGTTGTAAACCGTCGTTCTTTACGGTACGGTGTTTTACGGTAAATTTTCAAAGAAACTGTCGTTTTTTTTTTACCCTGCCTCAAAGCTTACACAGCCCCTTTTTTTTTCGCCTCCACCCTTCAACAGAAAGGAATAGTTCCAACTTTACCCTCGGAAACCTCGCCAGCAGCGCAGTCGTTCCTGCGTGCCCTGTTGGAGCCCGACCCCTGGCAGCGCCCCACGGCCGCCCACGCACTGCTCCACCCGTGGCTGGCCGGCACTGCTGAGGGCGTTGCAGCTGCCGTTGCAGGGGACACGACACAGCCGGCTGTGGCGGCGACTGGTGCTTCCCTGGCGCGGGCATCACCCCTGGTTGCAGCGCCCCTCACCGCCCTGCCTGGAGTGGGCGCAGAGGAGGCGAGCGCGGGAGAGAGAGTGAGTGGGGCTGCGGCAGAGATGCAGAAGGAGGGGACAGGGAAGGCAGGCGAGGAGGACAGGGAGAGGAGCGCGAGGGACGAGGAGAGAGGGGAGAGGAACGGGGAGATGGCAGCAAGGCGGGTGGGGCAGAAGGAAGAAGAGATGTTATGGAAGGGGCGGGCACAGGGAGGGGCGGCAGCAGAGGGGCGAGTGAGGGGAGGCGTGCAGCTGGAGGGGTCGCTGCGAGGCTTCCGCCTGTACGCAGCTACCAGGAAGCTTCAGCGCGCGTGCGTTGCCCTGCTGTCGCTGGAGCTCAGCGAATCGGAGTTTCGACAGCTCGTGCGCCACCTGGCGAGTGCCACATCAGCACCGGGCACGTCACTGGAGGCAGTGAGCGAATCAGGTGGGACTGTGGAGGGGCAGAGCGATGACAGGGGTGAGCAGCAGCAGCAGCAGCAGCAGCAGAAGCAGCAGCACCCCCCTTCAGCCATGCTGTCGCTGCCAGCACTGCTGGCGAGTCTAGACGCACTGGGGCACGAGCGGTTGTCACAGCAGCTCATGGGCGTGCACAGCAGCGTCATGGCGCACAGCATGCTGGCTCACGTGCTTCCCACTGTGACGCTGCAGGCAGGAGCGGTGCACAGCGGTGCCAGCGCTGCTGGTAGCAGTGCAGCGGGCGGGGAAAGCGAGAGGGAGGGTTGCGTGCGAGGTGGTTCTGGTATCGCTGCTGCGCTGGAAAAGCAGCCCCAGGAGCAGCAGCAGCAGGGAGCAGCGACCTCCTCTCTCGCCCATCAATCCCCAGCCCTGCCTCCCGCGTCCTCCTCCCTTGCCATCCCCCCCGTGCCTCTGTTTGACCTGCTTGACTTCTCTGCCCTCGTCACACGCCACCACGACGTGCACCGCCTGCACCACCACCCTGATGACCACCACCCCCACCATCACCACCATCACGCCACTGCCCATGCTGCTGTTACACGGGGTGCTGTAGGTCAAGGAGGGAGGAGGTTGGGGAAAGGGAAGGGGAAGGCGGTCAGTCCGGAGGGCGGTGGCAAGAGTGTGGAGGGTGGGGGCAGCCATCGTGGGTCGCGGCGGTTCTTAGGGCTTATGAAGGGAGGCGAGGGGGAGAAGGGAGGAGAGGGTGGCGGCAGTGTGCATGGCGGCAGCCTTCACGGCTCACGGCGGTTCGTCAGTGCGATCAGAGCGAGGGAGGGCGAGCAGCACGAGGGGGGCGGCAGCCAGCACGGCTCACGGCGCTTCTTTGGCCTCTTTGGGGGTAGGGAGCAGGAAGAGGCGAGTAGCAGGGCGGGCGGCAGCCAGCACGGGTCACGGCGATTCTTCACCATGATGCCTGGCAGCGGGGCGCCCAGCCCGGCAGCAGCAGGCGCGCCCAGCCCCGGAGGCAGCCTGCGCGGAAGCTTCCGCATGGCCAGGCGCCTGGGGCTGCTGAGGACGGGTGGGGAGGAGGGCGAGGGCGAGGAGGAGGACATGGCGAGTCCCGGTGCGGATGGTGATGTGGTGGGTGCCATGGGTGGAATGGGCGCTCGCAGTGCAGCCCCGCTGGCCCTGAGAGGGCCACTGTCTCCGCGCTCGCCGTCCGCCAGCACGCACAGCGACAACGCTGGTGGCTGGGCGCGACGACTCAACGCCCGCGCCAGTGCGGGCGGTGCCGGGATGACGTGGCAGTCACCCGTTGGCCAAAGGAAGAGCCCTCTGGCCCTGGGTGTCTCGCCCCAGTCAGGTGGGCGGCAGCAGGGGCTAGGGGCGGTGGGGGGCGGTGCAAGCAATGGTGCTACCACACTGCCTGCTGCTGCTAGTGCTGGGGCGGGTCATGTGGATCGCGGCGGGTTACCGGGTGTGGTGGGCATGTTGAGCTGCCAGCGCGTGCAGTCGTGTGTGGACCTGGCGGCCATGGGTGGCGCTGCTGGGGATGAGTCAAGCCCCGCTGCACGCAATGGCGGTTCCAGAGGGTGGGGGAGGGGGAGGGGGAAGGGGGGTTTCTGGGGCCCGGTGAAAGGGGGGGTGCAGGGAGGCACATCGGTGCACGGAGAGTGCTTGTACAGGGAGTTTCTGCTCAGCGAGTGCACACCTTGAAACATGCTGTGATGGTTGCGGTGCTGGGGAGATGACAGAAGGGGACCTCCTGTGTGACTTCCAGAGTCGCATGCTGACTCTTGTGCGACACCTTGCACGCTGCCACCATGCGCTATTTAGATTGTGACTCTTCTGTTGCGATCAGAAAGGGATCGTAACCAGGATCACCTCAGGAAGGTTCGCACAGTTCTAGTGAAGTGGTGGTGGGCCGTTGACCTCAATAGCAGAGTGAATGTAAATGCTTGAGATGATTAAGACATGCAAGTACAGGGGATATAAATATGAGTACAGGGAAGACGAATCGACCTAGCTAGCCATGTACTCTAAGGGGTACATTCCCTTATTCAAATGTATCCCAACCGTTCGGCGCGTACAGTTTCGTAACTGTTCCCGCCAAAACCATCCCGCCTGCAGCTGCCAGGTGCCGTCTGCTTCCGACGGTCCAAATGTGCTGTAACCTGTCAGAACATTATAGCTTATGCATATTGTGTAGGCTATAGTGGGGTAGCCCATAAGGGGTACAACCCAATTAGGGTTAGTACTTGTACCCAATTCATTCATAGTTCATTCATTCCTTGTTTCTTCTCATGGTATCGAGCAGGTTCCCTAACGGGAACGATTCCTAGGGCCCACCACTACGAAATTTTTTTTTTTTTCTTGCCCGGAGCGCGCTCCACTCAGCCCGAGTCGCGCTCGTGTGCTCTCCCTACCGGCGCGCCCTCGCTAGGCCCCTCACGGCCCCGTCACGTCGCCCCTAGCGGCCCTCTCACGGCCCGTCGCGCCGCCCTTACAGCCCGTCGCGCCGCCCTTAGTGGCCCGTCGCGCCGCCCCTTTCTGCGGCCCAGTCGCGCCGCCTCCTTCGCGGCCCCGTCGTACCGCCCTCAGCGGCTCGTCGCCGCCTCCTTCAGCAGCGTCGCCGCCTCCCCCTTGCGGCCCGTCGCCGCCTCCCCCTTGCGGCCCGTCGCCGCCTCCCCCTTGCGGCCCGTCGCCGCCTCCCCCCTTGCGGCCCGTCGCCGCCTCTTACAGCGACCCCACCGACCCCGCGCGCCGCCCTAGCGGCCTCTTGCGCCGCCTGTCGGCCCCGCTTGCCGCCCTTGCGCCCCTTCGAGCCGCCCGTCGGCCCACTGTGAGCCGCCCTAGCGGCATCGACGCTGCCCTTCCCGGCCCCGACGCCACCTTGGCTGGCCCCTGCGCCTGCTCCTACGACCCCGGCGCCTGCTCCTACGACCCCGGCGCCTGCTCCTACGGCCCCGGCGCCTGCTCCTACGGCCCCGGCGCCTGCTCCTACGGCCTCGGCCCCTGCTCCTACGGCCCCGGCGCCTTCTCCTACGGCCCCGGCGCCTGCTCCTACGGCCCCGGTGCCGCCCTTCCCGGCTCCGACGCCGCCTCCTACCGGCCCCACCGCCGTCCCTGATCAGGAGCCGCAGCCGCCAAGCCACCCAGCGAACGAGCCGCCGAGCCGCCCAGCAGCAGAGCCGCCGAACCGCCCAGCAGCTGAGCCGCCGAGCCGCCCAGCAGAGGAACCGCCGAGCCGCCCAGTAGCCGAGCAGCCGAGCAGCCGAGCCGCCGAGCCGCCCAGCAGCCGAGCCGCCGAGCCGCCCAGCAGCCGAGCAGCCGAGCCGCCAAGCCGCCTAGCAGCCGAGCCGCTGAGCCGCCGAGCCGCCCTGCCGCCGAGCCACCCGAGCCGCCGAGCCGCCCTGCAGCCGAGCCGCCGAGCCGCCCTGCAGCCGAGCCGCCGAGCCGCCCTGTCCGGTAAGAGCAGCGCCTCTACCCCTGCACTGCCCTTACCCTACTGTTCGTACTGCTAGTCTACTGCTGTCATGGCTACCCCTAGTGTCCTAGCTTTTGACGCTGATGGTAGGGCCATTGACTTTGACGTCTTGGTCGACGACCTGCAGCTTTTCTTACAGTGCGATAGGGCAGACGGCCTCTCCCTCTCTGACCTCACTTCTGGTGCCTCTCTTGCCCCCGCTGCTGATGCTTACGCCACTGTTCGCACACAGTGGGCCACGCGCGATGCTACTGCACGTCTTGCCGTGCGTTGCCACCTGCCTACCTCTGAGCGTGCGCACTTTAGCGAGTACAAGAGTGCTCAGACCTTGTACGACGCTGTAGTTGCACGCTACTCCTCCCCTGCCAATGCTGCACTGAGCCGCCTCATGCTACCGTACCTCTTCCCTGACCTTGCTGCCTTTCCCACAGTCGCTAACCTCATTACGCACCTCCGCACTAGTGACACTCGCTACCGCGCTACGCTTCCTGCTGAGTTCTGCGCCAAGAACCCCCCCCCCCATGTGCATCACCCTCTACTACATAGTCACCCGTCTCCCTGACTCCCTTCGCGTAGTCAGGGACCACTTCCTCTCAGTTTGCCCCACCACTCTCACCGTTGACCTCCTCGAGAAGGCCCTCCTAGCAGCAGAAAAGAGCATAGTCGCTGTAGGAGCCTCTCGTGGTGACCCTCGCACCCCCGTCTTTGAGGGGTGTTCCCCCTCCCCTCTTTTGCCCTCTGTTGCCGCTGCTGCTGCGGCCGACCTCGTTGGTCTGGAGTCGGTCGGTGCGGCGTCTACCCCTAGAGGGAAGCGTCGCTCTGGCAAGGGGAAGGGGGGCAGGGGCGCTGGAGGAGCTAGCGGGGGCGGTGGAGGCGGCGGTGGAGGCAGTGGAGGGGGTGGGGGTGGTGGTGGGAGTAGTGGCGGGGGTGGAGGTGTCGGCGGCGGCAGTGGAGGCGGAGGCGGCGGTGGCGGTGGGAGCGGAGGTGGTGGAGGTGGCGGAGGTGGAGGAGGCGGTGACGGAGGAGGAGGAGGAGGAGGTCGTGGCTCTTCGCAGAGGAGTGGCTCTGGTGGTGGTCAGCGCCAGCAGTAGCAGCGCAGTCGGGAGACCCTTTCCCCTCAGCAGCTCCGTGAGTGGTACGCTCCACGCCACTGGGGTGGGGGTACTAGTCCGTGCACCTACGTCCTGCGCACCGGCGACCGTGCGGGTGAGCAGTGTGGGGGTGCGCACCCCACCCAGCGCTGCTTTGGCCGCCTGACGGACGCTTGGCGTCACCAGTTCCCTGAGGACACTGAGATCCCTCGCTGGGGCGAGCTGTCTAAAGCAGGGGTAGCTATCTTTGACCTTGACTTTGATGCTATTCTTGCTGCTATGTATGCTGTGTCTATTAGTGAGGAGGGTGACTGTTACCGGTGTTTCCCGCCCGACCCGGGCATTAAGAATGCTGCTCTAGGTGTTGGTGAGAATGCTGCTCTTGGTGCTAGCGAGGCTGCAGCTCTAGGTGCTAGTGCGTCTGCTTCCTCCGGTACTGGTGAGTCTGCGCTCTCAGGTACTGCGTCGGCTTCGGCCTCCCACACCTTCACACTTGACTCGGGGCTTCTCGCTCCTTCTTTCGAGACCGCACCACACTCACGCCGCTTGGTCGGCCAGTTGCAGTCTCCCTGGCAGACCTCTCTGGGGGTCCTGTCCTTGCTCACTTCTCCACTGTCCTCCCGTGTCCGGCGGCCCCCTCTGGCACCCTGTCTGGTCTTTACCTCCCCTCGTTCTCTACGAACTTGGTGAGTGGTGCTGACCTACAGGATGCGGGGGTTCACCAGTTCACTCCTGCGAGTCAGCGGGTGACCCACTGCACGGACGCTCGGACAGGCCGACACCTGGCCACATTTACACGTCGGCCGGGGTCGAGCCTGTACACACTGACCACTGTGTCTCCTCCAGTCACTGCATCTGGTCAGGTAGCTGCGTCGGGTCAGGTGTTAGCTGCAGCGTCTAGTCTGGTCCTGAGTCTGCCCCCTGCTCGTGTCGCCTCCTGTCTCACGAGACTCTCCTCTGGCATCACCGCCTTGGTCACCCCTCCATGCTTCGTCTCCGAAGCATGGCCTCCCGTGTCCTTGTCTCTGGTCTTCCCCGGTCCCTCCCTCCCCTTCCTCCGGGGCCTGGCCCTACCTGCGTCCCCTGTGTCGAGGGGCGGCAGCGGGCTACCCCTCACTCCTCCCAGTTTCCTCCGACAGAGGCCCCGCTGCAGACGCTTCACATGGACGTGTGGGGCCCAGCCCGCGTCCGTGGACAGGGTGACGAGCGCTACTTCCTGCTGGTGGTTGACGACTACTCGCGTTACACCACAGTCTTCCCCTTGCGCAGCAAGGGTGATGTCACCGAGGTGTTGATCGGCTGGATCCGCGCAGCTCGTCTCCAGCTCAGGCAGAGCTTCGGCTCGGACTTTCCTGTTCTACGTCTGCACTCTAACAGAGGCGGAGAGTTCTCCTCTGGCCTTCTGCGAGCCTACTGTCGTGCACGAGGCATCCGCCAGACCTTCATGCTTCCGGACTCTCCACAACAAAATGGGATTGCTGAGCGCCGCATTGGCATGGTTATGGACGTCGCCCGTACGTCCATGATGCATGCGGCTGCCCCCCATTTTCTGTGGTCGTTTGCGGTTCGGTACGCGGCGCATCAGATCAACCTTCAGCCCAGGGTCTCCATGCCGGAGACCTCCCCAGCTTTGCTGTGGACGGGGAAGGTTGGCGATGCGTCTGCGTTCCGTGTCTGGGGATCTCGGGCGTTTGTCCGCGACTTGTCTGCGGACAAGCTGTCCCCTCGTGCTGCTCCTTGCGTCTTAATGGGTTTCCCCCCTGACGCGCCAGGGTGGCAGTTCTACCACCCCACCTCTTGCCGTGTTTTGTCCTCCCAGGACGTCACGTTCGAAGAGTCGGTCCCCTACTACCGTCTCTTCCCCTACCGCACTCCGTCCCTCCCCCCGCCACCGCTCTTCCTTGTGCTAGGTCCCCCCCCCGGTAGACCCCCTCCCCCCTCAGGGTCCTGCCCCTTCAGGTGTGTCCCAGGTAGACGCTGTTGAGCCTGTCGAGGTCGCTGGTAACTCTGGTGCTGCTGAGGGTGCTGAGCCTAGGGGTGCTCACTCTGGGGGTGCTGAGCGTGTGGGTGCTGCACCTGGGGGTGCTGAGCTTGAGGGTACTACGACTGGGGGTGCTGAGCCTGGGGGTGCTGAGTCTGGGGGTGCTGAGTCTGGGTGTGCTACGCCTGGGGGTGCTGAGCCTGGGGGTGCTGAGCCTTGGGGTGCTACGCTTGGAGGTGCTGAGCCTGGGGGTGCGGAGCCTGAGTGAGCTGGGCCTGCTAGTGCTGTGCCTGGCGGTTCTCCGGGTGCTTCGTCTCACCGGGAGCCACTCTCTCCACAGGAGTTGCGTGAGTGGTTTGCCCGGCGCTGGAGGCGAGGTGCTGGAGCAGGAGGTGCTGCGGGTACTGGAGGTTCTGTTGCTGCTGAGGGAGCTGGTGCTACGGGTCCCGGAAGTGCTCGTAGTGGGAGTACTGGAGCTGCTGGACGTACGGGTACTTCTGGAGCTGGAGCTGCTGCGGGTGTTGGCGCGGAGGCTACTGCTGTCGGTCCTGGAGGCGGTCCTGCTGGGGGTACTACTGGTGCTGCTGGAGGTACTGGAGCTGGAGCTGCTACTAGTGCTGGTGCTGCCATTAGGGGTGCTGGTGCTGTCCCTGCTGTGTCTGGAGTCGCCGCGCGGCCTCGGCCGTACTTCGTTCCGCTCCTTCAGCAGGTTCTTGGTCTCCCATCTTCTACTGGTCCTCCTCCTCCCTTAGAGTGTCCACAGCCTGTCCCGTCGCAGTTACAGTTACAGCCGGCCTCCCCACTACCTGCACCGTCTCCCTACACTGGTCCTACTAGAGGTCTTGCTGAGCGTCGTGAGCCTGCATCTCGCCCTGCGTCGCCTGTCCGTGCTGCTCGCACTAGTGGTCACGGTTCGCGTCAGCGTCCTCCTCCTGTCCCTAGCACGCACCGAATGTCTCTCCGTCCGTCCACTGCTCCTCTGCGTGCCCCTTTGCCTTCTCCTCCTAAGTCTTGTCTTCCTGCTCTTGCCGACCCGGAGTTGGACTCTCTTCTTGCTGCCAGTTCTTATGTCACGCGTCTCCTTGCTACTGTTATCACTGACCTTTCCTTTGAGTCCACTGCTGCGTCTGCCCTAGTTGCTGAGCTCGTCGACTTTGCTGCTCGCTGTCGCCTAGACTACGCCGCCAGTCTTGTTGCTGAGTCTGAGTCTGTCTGTCCTCCATCCGTCGAGGGTGAGTGTGCCCTTGGCACGGACGTCCTCAAGGACAGGCAGGAGGAGTTCCAGTGCATGGCCGCTGCTTCACCTCATCTCGCGTCCGTAATGCTTACCCCTGAGGGAGACCCGGATGCACTTGACATCCCGATTCCGCGCTCTTACGCGGAGGCGATAGAGGGTCCCTACTCCTCTCAGTGGCAGGCAGCTATGGACGCAGAGATGGCTTCCTAGAAGTCCACAGGCACCTACGTTGACGCTGTTCCCCCTCTTGGGGCGAACATCGTCAGTGGCATGTGGATTTTCAGGGTGAAGCGACCGCCGGGTTCTCCGCCTGTCTTCAAGGCGCGTTACGTGGCTCGTGGCTTCAGTCAGCGGCAGGGAGTTGACTACTTTCAGACCTTCTCTCCAACCCCGAAGATGAGCACTCTTCGGGTACTGCTGCACATAGCTGCTCACCGTGACTTCGAGCTACACTCTCTTGTTTTCAGCACTGCTTTCTTGCAGGGCAGCCTGCACGAGGAGATCTGGCTGCGCCGCCCACTTGGCTTCACTGGGACTTTTCCTCCTGGCACCTAGTGGAGCCTCCGGCGGCCAGTCTACGGTCTCCGCCAGGCACCGCGTGAGTGGCACGATACACTGAGGACTACACTTGCGGCTCTTGGGTTTGCTCCCTCTACTGCCGACCCGTCGTTGTTTCTGCGCACCGACACTTCTTTGCCGCCGTTCTACATCCTCGTGTACGTCGACGACTTGGTCTTTGCCACAGCTGACACTGCTGGACTCGCCTACGTGAAGTCTGAGCTGCAGAAGAGACACACGTGCACTGACGTGGGTGAACTGCGCAGCTACCTTGGCTTGCAGATCACTCGGGACAGAGCACGCCGCACCATTACCCTGACTCAGTCACACATGGTGCAGCAGGTCCTTCAGCGCTTCGGCTTCACGTACTCCTCGCCTCAGGCCACTCCTCTGCCTACTCGCCACTCGCTCTCAGCTCTGCCTTCGGATGAGTCCGTAGAGTCGAGTGGCCCGTACCCAGAGCTTGTTGGCTGCCTCATGTACCTGATGACGTGCACTCGACCTGACCTTGCATACCCTCTTAGCATTCTCGCACGCTATGTTGCTCCTGGGAGACACAGACCGGAGCACATGGCTGCAGCGAAGAGGGTGTTGCGCTACTTGTGCAGTACGTCGGGCATGGGGCTTGTGCTTGGAGGGCAGAGTCCAGTGGTCCTTACTGGGCACGCAGACGCTTCTTGGGCTGACGACCAGGCTACGCAGCGGTCGTCACAGGGTTACACCTTCAGCCTTGGTTCTGGCTCTGTTTCTTGGCGGGCTACTCGCTCGTCTTCTGTTCTCGGCTCTAGTTGTGAGGCTGAGATCTACGCAGGAGCCATGGCTGCACAGGAGCTTCGCTGGCTCACCTACCTGATGACTGACCTCGGAGAGCCGCCTCGTTCTTCTCCAGTGCTGTACGTAGACAACAAGGTCATGCTGGCCTTGTGTCGGGAGCAGCGCGTGGAGCACAGAACGAAGCACATTGCTCTCCGCTACTTTCTTGCTCGTGAGCTGCAACAGCGTGGTCAGCTGCGTCTTGCGTACGTGGCCTCTGAGGCCAACACTGCTGATATCTTCACCAAGGCACTTGCGCCTTGTGACCATCAGCGCTTCTGTACTCAGCTGGGCCTTGTGCCTACCTTGCCTCACTTGCTCACCTCTTGACCTTACTTGTACTGTTACATATATATATATACCTGCTCTTGCTTGTCTAGCCTTTTAATATATATGTACTCATGCATGTGAACTGGCCTTGTGGCCTTGAACTTGTGCTCGGAATGTGTGGTGACTTTGTGATCCACCCTGAGCTTGCTTTGCTTTGCTTTGCTTGACTGGTCTTGTGACCCCTTGTTCTCCCCCACTTTGCCTATGGGGGTGTGTCAGAACATTATAGCTTATGCATATTGTGTAGGCTATAGTGGGGTAGCCCATAAGGGGTACAACCCAATTAGGGTGAGTACTTGTACCCAATTCATTCATAGTTCTTTCATTCCTTGTTTCTTCTCATAACCGTCCGACTCTTCGATTCAATTCCAACCGTCTGACGCTTCGCGTTCATTCGCGATATTGCGTGTTCCTTTGCTGCGGTGAGGAGTGCTTAGTAATATCAAATATTACTATTCGTAACATCTTCTATGATTGTGGTGTGCATTCATATGGTGCTGGTGCATTGTGCCGTGCCCTCCCGGTAAATTAACAAGCATTGACATTGTGGTTCTGGCTCGTCAATACTCCAGTGAATAAGGAGCGGACAAACAGAACCTGATTTACAATGTATTGGGACAAGCGTCACAAGTTCCATTTCTCTTTGTGTATTCATCGATTTATCGCTGCATGATAATAGCGGCTAGTCGACGCGGCCAGAAATGCAAGCATCACTAACTCTGCCCTGTAATCTACAGGTCGGAAGGGCGAGGAGTTTGTTGGCGAATCGTCTCCAAAGATCGTCCCTCAGGCCCACCTCCGCCCCACAGCTGGCCTCCAGTGGGGCTATAGCCACTGTACACTATCGAATTACAGCACAGAAAGAGTAATTTACCCGTTGTGATTCAAAATCAAACGGTGGAGAGCGAACGGAAGGCTGTGTGCTGCGTCAAACCGGGCCAACAACCACCTCTGCAAACCCTAAAATCCTCCCTAGCCTTCCCTCACTCCCTAGCCTCCCCTCCCCTCCCCCACATGCCCTTCCGCACACCTACACCAAACACTGATGTGAACAGCTGCAAGCAGGATTTGCTGGGCAGTACCCATCCGTCCGTACTGCACCTCCCCACTCCCCACGCCCTTGGTCACCTCCGTAGGAGAGAGAGGGGAGGAGTGGACACGGGCAGTCATGGGCCGTGTGTCTGGGTTTGGGCGGCTAGTGCGCCGAACCCTCGTCATGCTGTCCCTCGCAATCGCAAGAATGGAGCAATGCATGGATGCATGGATGGTAGCACGATTCACCTTCACCAGTCGCCACCCAAGGCGCCGACGGAACCCACCCCGCTCCGAACTCATCGCAAGTCCAAGCGCGCAGCGGCGCAATCAGAGGCCGTTCTCCCTCGCGGTAGTTCCTTTCCAGCTCGCGGCGTCGCGCGGTGCCCTCCGCATCTTGAACCGCTTGTTCTTCCTCCTCTGCGCGCCCTTCAACATTTCAAGTGTTATTTCGACGCGCGACCTAGTTTTGTTGTTTTCCGCGTCTGCTGGACCTCTCAGATTGCTACCCTAGAGATTACCAAGGAGAAACTCGTTCTCGCTACAAGCGGTTCTGCGGAACTGAAAGTAGCGTCCACCATAGTACCGCTCGAAGCGCAGCGCGACCACCTGCGCCCTGCCGAGCCTACGAACGCTCGCCGTCGTTAGACTCGTCCACGTAGATTCGCCACAGATCCCGCACGGCTCCCTTGTCGCATTCGTTCTCAGCATCGCCGCAGCGTTACCTCGCGTCGCGTTGCATCGCCATTAGTACCGCGTCACTAGCGGCAGCTCCGCGGCTCGCTGGCGCGGCAACCCAATCGTGCGCGTCCATCTGCGCTGCTGGTCGAATTCGCATTTGCGGCCTACCCGTCCCTAGACGATTCACGCTACAAGTCCGACCCGCATGGCTCGCGGCCCGCCGTCGTGCACGGGGTCCGCGTGGCGCGACACGGCACTGCTGCTTGTCGGCGCGCTGCTCTCTCTCGCTCAACACAGCACCCCCGCGGTTGCTGCTGCCCCAGGTGCGTGTAGATCGCTGAATGCTCGTGTCGACTTCGACAAAGGTCATCTGGCGGCACTATGAGTTCCCTCAACGCACGCCGCATGCGCCTTCCCCGTATACGCCTTCTCCATATGCGCCTTCCCCGTATACGCCTTCTCCATATGCGCCTTCCCCGTATACGCCTTCCCCATATGCGCCTTCCCCGTATATGCCTTCCCCACATGCGCCCTGCGCATTCACGGCAGAGTGGGTAGGTCGGCGTTATGCGGTGCAGTGCTGCCGGCCTCGCCGTGGCTCCACGTTACTGCACCGCTGCCATCGCGTGCACAGCGCTCCATGGCGCTCCCCTCCTCCTCACGCCCTGCCCCCTCTTGCTCCCCTCCCCGAGCCCTGCGTGACCCACCTCTCCTTCCGCCACCACTCAAATTCCACGCGGCCCTCTTCAACCACCCGCCCCACCTTTCCCGCTTCCCCTGCACCCTTTCCCCCTTTCCCCCCTTTCCCCGTCACACGCGCGTCCCTGCCAGTGACCCCAGGCGCCACCCCCAACAGCTTCTACCGCTACCACTACCACGTGCGCCGCCTCCCGCCCTTTCTGCGCAACCACCTCAAGCGCGCACAAGGGCAGGGGGACGGAGGGGACGGAGGGGGCGGAGGGGGCGGAGGAGGCGGAGGAGGAGGAGAGGGGAGCAGCACTGTGCGGGCGGCGAGCATTGCGAGCAGCGGCGATGAAACTATCGTCCTCACCAGCGGCAGCGGCGGCAGCAGCAGCAGCAGGAGCGGGGCTTTAGGCGGCATAGGTGGCGGCGGAGGGGGAGCGGGCGCCAGCGCGTACGAGCGGGCGCAGGCCGCCATGGCCGCGGCGAAGGCGCGCAGGAGCGCGTGGGGGAAGTCGATGCGCGGGCGGGGGCGGACGGGCAAGAGACGGCCGTGGGTGGATGTGTCGTGGGCCAATCACAGGCCGCTGGCGCAGGTGTACGAACCTGATTGGCCCGCGATTTCGGAGGAGGCGGGGATGACGGCCGACGGCGGGAGGGGCGCGGGCAATGGCGCGTGGCCGTTCGCTGAGCCGCGCATCAGCCCCCAGACGATCCGTAAGTGGGGGTTACGGGAGGGGGGATAGGGGGAAAGGGGAGGGGGAGGGGAGGGAAGAGAGAGGGGCAAGGGGGATAGTGAGTGATGTAAGGGGGAAGGCGCGGAGGAGAGGGGATTGATTGCGCGTGGGCAGCGAGGTGATGTAGGCGAGGCATGCGTGCGGCTGAACTGAACACGTGTGACGCTGTGGTTGGATTCGGGCGCTGTGTGGGACTGATGTGATGTGATGTGATGTGATGTGATGTGGTGTGATGTGATGTGATGTGATGTGATGTGATGTGATGTGATGTGATGTGGTGTGGTGTGATGTGATGTGGTGTGATGTGATGTGATGTGATGTGGTGTGATGTGATGTGATGTGATGTGATGTGATGTGGTGTGATCTCATGTCTTATGTCGTGTGCGGTGTGGTAATGTGATGGTCATGTCATGGCATCCCACACACCCCCACCCACCACCTCTACAGGGCGGCAGCCGCCATCCAGCGGGCTACCATGCACGCCGCTCACCACAGCGGTGATCATTCCAGTCAACTCGGAGGACGACTTCCCCCGACGCCTCAAGTACCCGCCCACCGTCACGGTCGTCCTGGAGCTGCAGAACCACATCCTGCTGACGGCGCCGCTGCTCTTCAACGCGTCCTTCGCCTGCACCGTGCTGCGCTCCACCGCCCGCCCCGCACGCGGCTTCCAGCTGACGCTCATGCGCACGGACGCGCCGCTGCTGTGGATCGCGGGCGCCAGCAACGTGCTGGTGCTGCGCGTCTCCTTCTTCCAGCCCTACGCCCTTGACACCTACGCCTGCCAGGGCATCCCGTACATGGGCACTGACGTCATCTGCCCCGCCATCCACATCTACCAGGTGACGTCATCTGCCCCGCCATCCACATCTACCAGGTGACGCCACGCGTCCTGGAGTGCACTGCACATGCATGGAGTGACTACCAGCCGTGCCATGTGTGCAAGTAGTAGCTAGGGTGCTTCTGAGACGTCCGAGAGTCATGCCATGGCGTGCCGCGTGCATGCACGTCGCCAAGGCAGGCAGCGCACGTGCAGGTGGCATGGGGCACACTGTGGGGGGCATCGACATGTTCTCATCGCTGGCACCGCTTGCGTATGCATGCCATGCCATGACGACCTGCGCGCCTGCACCGGGTCTGCCCATTAGCCCTGAACCAGTTCCTTAGGCGCATAAATGATCAGCAAAGCAGCGATTCAACACGTTTGCTCCCCCTCTCTCCCCTCAACCGGGCGGGCGGCAAGCGTGCAGGTGGCGTGCGGCATGGTGTACGGGGGGGGGGGGGACGGCATCAAGGTCACAGGCCTGGGCGACTGGAGGCAAGGTCACAGGCCTGGGCGACTGGAGGCAAGGTCACAGGCCTGGGCGACTGGAGGCAAGGTCACAGGCCTGGGCGACTGGAGGCAAGGTCACAGGCCTGGGCGACTGGAGGCAAGGTCACAGGCCTGGGCGACTGGAGGCGGTCAGCACAGCACACTTTCAAACCACTTACTCCCCACTGCGTATCCACCCCCCCTTCCCCCCCACCAGGCAGCCAACGTGCAGGTGGCGCGGGGCACGGTGTACGGGCGGGTGGCGGCATGAAGGTGACAGCCTGGCAGGCTTGGGTTGGGCGACTCGAGGCAACGGTCACGGTCTGCACAGCACACACTCAAAGCGCTTGCTCCCCACTGCTCTCCCTCCTCCCACAACAGGCAGCCAACGTGCAGGTGGCTCGCGGAACGGTGTACGGGCGCATCGATGTGTACTGGTCCGTGGCGGTGCGCGTGGACGGCATGAAGGTGACGGGGCTGGGCGACTTCAAGCGCGGCCAGGGGCTCATCCGCGTGGCGTTCTGCGGCCACGGGCCCACCATGCAGCGCAGCGGGGTCGTCATCAGCAACAACGAGGTCTTTGGTGCGTGCAGGGCTGCTGGGGGGGAGGGTTGGTGCGTGTGCAGGCAGGGGCTCATCCGCGTGGCCTTGTGCGGCAGGGGCGCACTGCATGTGCGCTGCTGACAGGTGGTTACTTACACCCTGCGTTTGGTGCGTGTGGGCCTGAGAAGCAGTGCAACTCCACCGCAACTTGAGTAACGATAGAGATGCTTTTCAAGCTGTCAATCCGTCACCACTTACGCCTGACTGACGCGCCTCTTATCCGCCCCTGTGCTCTCCTCTTTGCGCCAACCACCCGTGCCTTCTCTCCTGCCAGCTCACGCGTCCTGATCATGCGGTTGGCGGCAGCACGAGGCACAGTGCGCGCCAACCACGGGCATAACTTCATCTTCATCATTCCGGGCTCCTCACATCACGCCTTCCCTCCCTCCTCTCTCCTCCCCTTCCTCCCCTCCCCTCCCTCCCGTCCCCTTCCTTTCCTCCCCTCCCTGGCCCCTCCACCCCGTCCCTCCACCATCCCACCAGGTGCCCGCTTCCCCATAGTGCTGTATTTCGGGGCGGTGGGAGTGACGGTGAGGAACAACTACGTGCACGACTTCATATTCGCGGGCATCGTGTGCGGCGCGTTTGTGTCGTACGTGGGCGACTGCATGCTGTCCACCATCTCCAACAACCTGGTGGTGGCCACGGGGCGCAACATCAGCGGGGACATGGACGCCTCAGGCATCTACTTCAACACGCACTGGTTCAATCCCGGTCAGACTCCGCGCATTGCTGCTTCAACCCTGCGTACTGCTTTGCCGTGCCATGTCATGCCATGCCATGTGGAACCACAGTGCCTGCAGGCTCGCCACTCTCTCTCACCACTACTGCCATCGTCGCTGCCTCTGCCTTAGCTGCGCTGCCACCATGCACACACACCTTCTCCTTCTCCTCTCCCGCCTCCCCCATCACCCCCCCTCCCCACGGCATCAGGCAACCTAGCTGAGTGCAACTACGTGATAGGCGGCGACCAGTGCTACTACCTGGACTTTGCGTCGTCGGGTGTGACCATCCGAGGGGGCGCGTGCATTGACACGTACGCGGGCATGAAGGTCAACAACGGCAAGAGGTAAGATGGGAGGGGGGCATGGTGCGAGTGACAACGGTGTGCTTGAAGGGTGGCGGTGTAGCAGCTTGAAGCATTTCTCTTTCATGGCCCGTACCCTCCTGCAATGGCCCGTACCCTCCTGCATGGCCCGTACCCTCCTGCACTCGCTCTGCATTGCATTGAGCCACGTCAGTATAATGCCGCAACCACTTCTACCAAACAGTCATGAGATGCATCCATGCAACCAATCCATTCGCCATAACTCAACTTGTCGCTCTCATCTTCCCCACCGTCCCTGCGCCCCATGACAACCCGGCAGCAACGTGATAGAGGACGTGGTGGTGAAGAACACGCGCTGGACGCCCGGGTGGTCCACGTGCCTCACAGCGGAGGTGGTGAACGGTGGGAAGAAGCCCGGGTCGTACTGGGAGCAGATGCGCCGCAAGTACTACAACTCGGCCCAGTTTAACCAGGTGCGTGCAACATGAACCAGGTGCGTGCAACATGAACCAGGTGCGTGCAACATGAACCAGGTGCGTGCAACATGAACCAGGTGCGTGCAACATGAACCAGGTGCGTGCAACATGAACCAGTTGCGTGCAACATGAACCAGGTGCGTGCAACATGAACCAGGTGCGTGCAACATGAACCAGGTGCGTGCAACATGAACCAGGTGCGTGCAACATGAACCAGGTGCGTGCAACATGAACCAGGTGCGTGCAACATGAACCAGGTGCGTGCAACATGAACCAGGTGCGTGCAACATGAACCAGGTGCGTGCAACATGAACCAGTTGCGTGCAACATGAACCAGGTGCGCGCAACATGAACCAGGTGCGTGCAACATGAACCAGGTGCGTGCAACATGAACCAGGTGCGTGCAACATGAACCAGGTGCGTGCAACATGAACCAGGTGCGTGCAACATGAACCAGGTGCAACCCATCATTGACGCCTGTCTCACCCGCCCTCCTCTCTCTTCCTCACCCATCTCTCCACGCCGCCCCGCTGCTCCCTTGCACCCCCCTATTCACATCAGAACTGGCCATGGATGCAAACGGTGTGCTCAGAGACGGGCGTGAACGGCGTGCCGTGCAACACCAACGCGCGGGGAACCCTCAACGCCACGCAGACGGGCAAGTGCAGCGGGCTGCCCACGCGCAACTCGCTCATGCTCGTGCTCGTCAATGCGCTCGACTACGACATGGACTTCAAGTACTGCGAGGACCTGCCCAACACGCCGCGCCTCAACTCGCACCGCTTCATCAATGTCACCAACGTCGCTGATGCGCAGTTCCTGGATTTCGTGGAGGACGACTTGGGCGTGAGAAAGGGGTCGTCGCTTTACAAGGCCCGGCCGAATTTCAAGAGCTGCCCGAGGAGTGAAGTTGGGCCGAAAAAGCTCTTGGAGAGGTCTTACTATGAGAGCTTTAATAAGGCTATTCCGGATGTTTATTATGTTACATTAGGTATGGGGACCTTGCATATCCATGATCCGACCCTTTTAGTGAGCGATAATAAAATGGGTAAGTAGCCCAGGAAGATATTATAATTGTACATTCATGTGAGCACTACTGTATAACAAAAGTTACTGTACAAGCCGTACAAGGCACATCAACCAGACTTGTTTTCTGAACATGTGCAGACCTAGCACACCTGATACGTCCGTCAAACAGAACTGAAAGCCTGGTACGGTAAGTGCTGCCGTACAGACCTGCCCCTCGTAACGATTTTTCTCCAGGCACCACGAGTGGCACAAGGGCAATTGGTTGACCGTTACGCTCACTCAAGGGGGAGGGCCTAGTCCGCACACTCGTAGAGGCGAGCTGCACGAATGTGGTGCAGTACTGCGTCTGGCACGAGGTACTTGGCTGACAGGCCCCGCTGTAACAGCCTCCTGCACACATGCGCAGGCGCATGAGAGGCATGGTATGGGTGCAGTGCGGTGGAGTGTGGTGGCGAAGTGATGTGACGTGCCCGGGGAGGGAGTTGAGAAAGGGGCAGCCAAAGTGAGGAGATGAGGCAAGTGCAAAAGCGAGCGCAATATCAACCATAGTGTGCTTTCAAGATGGTCAACCGAAGTGCAACAAGCGGCTGTCAGTGGAGTGAGCAGGTGTGCGAAGGTATGACTCGCACTCTGTGCTGCAAAGGTGAAAGAGTCATGTCGACAGGCGTGCAAGGGGGCAAGGCGGTGGGCATGGAGCAGCGGAGAAAAAGAGCGAGACACATGTGGGGTGAAGGTGGGTAGGGGGAGGTACCGGATGCGGGAAGAGCTGATGTTGTTCTCTATAGGCTGATCCACTATAAGGATGTTGTGCTGGGTAGCGGTACGGGGAGAGGGCATGAGGGAAGAGGTGGGTGAGGAGGCAACATGGAGGAGAGCGCACATGTGGCCTTAGGGAGAGTCATCAGCACGACCCTACATCAGCTCCCACCAGCATTGCTTCGCCGAATGGGCACTGGAAAGGAAGGAGGTTCCCTAACGGCATGATCCAAGTCAAGTGCCGGCACATGCGAGTCAAAGCGTTGCAGGAATGGAGGGGTGGATGGAGGGGTGCGTGGAGGGGTGCGTGGAGGGGTACGTGGAGGGGTGCGTGGAGGGGTGCGTGGAGGTGTGCGTGGAAGGGTGCGTGGGGATGCCCGTCCTGGGGAGGCACAAGTGGGCGTGCATGCGACAGGCACAGCTAAACACCCTTCAGCCGCTCACAGCAGCCACTCACACCAGTCACTCACACCAGTCACTCACACCAGTCACTCACACCAGTCACTCACACCAGTCACTCACACCAGTCACTCACACCAGTCACTCACACCAGTCACTCACACCAGTCACTCACAGCAGTCACTCACACCAGTCACTCACAGCAGCCACTCACACCAGTCACTCACACCAGTCACTCACACCAGTCACTCACAGCAGCCGCTCACAGCAGCCACTCACACCAGTCACTCACACCAGTCACTCACACCAGTCACTCACACCAGTCACTCACACCAGTCACTCACAGCAGTCACTCACACCAGTCACTCACACCAGTCACTCACACCAGTCACTCACACCAGTCACTCACACCAGTCACTCACAGCAGCCACTCACACCAGTCACTCACACCAGTCACTCACACCAGTCACTCACACCAGTCACACCAGTCACTCACACCAGTCACTCACACCAGTCACTCACACCAGTCACTCACACCAGTCACTCACACCAGTCACTCACACCAGTCACTCACACCAGTCACTCACACCAGTCACTCACACCAGTCACTCACACCAGTCACTCACACCAGTCACTCACAGCAGCCACTCACACCAGTCACTCACACCAGTCACTCACACCAGTCACTCACACCAGTCACTCACACCAGTCACTCACACCAGTCACTCACACCAGTCACTCACACCAGTCACTCACACCAGTCACTCACACCAGTCACTCACACCAGTCACTCACACCAGTCAATCACACCAGTCACTCACACCAGTCACTCACACCAGTCACTCACAGCAGCCACTCACACCAGTCACTCACACCAGTCACTCACACCAGTCACTCACACCAGTCACTCACACCAGTCACTCACACCAGTCACTCACACCAGTCACTCACACCAGTCACTCACACCAGTCACTCACACCAGTCACTCACAGCAGTCACTCACAGCAGTCACTCACAGCAGTCACTCACACCAGTCACTCACACCAGTCACTCACACCAGTCACTCACACCAGTCACTCACACCAGTCACTCACAGCAGCCACTCACACCAGTCACTCACACCAGTCACTCACACCAGTCACTCACACCAGTCACACCAGTCACTCACACCAGTCACTCACACCAGTCACTCACACCAGTCACTCACACCAGTCACTCACACCAGTCACTCACACCAGTCAATCACACCAGTCACTCACACCAGTCACTCACACCAGTCACTCACAGCAGCCACTCACTCACACCAGTCACTCACACCAGTCACTCACACCAGTCACTCACACCAGTCACTCACACCAGTCACTCACACCAGTCACTCACACCAGTCACTCACACCAGTCACTCACACCAGTCACTCACACCAGTCACTCACACCAGTCACTCACACCAGTCACTCACACCAGTCACTCACACCAGTCACTCACACCAGTCACTCACACCAGTCACTCACACCAGTCACTCACACCAGTCACTCACACCAGCCACTCACACCAGTCACTCACAGCAGCCACTCACACCAGTCACTCACACCAGTCACTCACACCAGTCACTCACACCAGTCACTCACACCAGTCACTCACACCAGTCACTCACACCAGTCACTCACACCAGTCACTCACACCAGTCACTCACACCAGTCACTCACACCAGTCACTCACACCAGTCACTCACACCAGTCACTCACACCAGTCACTCACACCAGTCACTCACACCAGTCACTCACACCAGTCACTCACAGCAGCCACTCACACCAGTCACTCACAGCAGCCACTCACACCAGTCACTCACACCAGTCACTCACACCAGTCACTCACACCAGTCACACCAGTCACTCACACCAGTCACTCACACCAGTCACTCACACCAGTCACTCACACCAGTCACTCACACCAGTCACTCACACCAGTCACTCACACCAGTCACTCACACCAGTCACTCACACCAGTCACTCACACCAGTCACTCACAGCAGTCACTCACAGCAGCCACTCACACCAGTCACTCACACCAGTCACTCACACCAGTCACTCACACCAGTCACTCACACCAGTCACTCACACCAGTCACTCACACCAGTCACTCACACCAGTCACTCACACCAGTCACTCACACCAGTCACTCACACCAGTCACTCACACCAGTCACTCACACCAGTCACTCACACCAGTCACTCACACCAGTCACTCACACCAGTCACTCACACCAGTCACTCACACCAGTCACTCACACCAGTCACTCACACCAGTCACTCACACCAGTCACTCACACCAGTCACTCACACCAGTCACTCACACCAGTCACTCACACCAGTCACTCACACCAGTCACTCACAGCAGTCACTCACAGCAGCCACTCACACCAGTCACTCACACCAGTCACTCACACCAGTCACTCACACCAGTCACTCACACCAGTCACTCACACCAGTCACTCACACCAGTCACTCACACCAGTCACTCACACCAGTCACTCACACCAGTCACTCACACCAGTCACTCACACCAGTCACTCACACCAGCCACTCACACCAGTCACTCACAGCAGCCACTCACACCAGTCACTCACACCAGTCACTCACACCAGTCACTCACACCAGTCACTCACACCAGTCACTCACACCAGTCACTCACACCAGTCACTCACACCAGTCACTCACACCAGTCACTCACACCAGTCACTCACACCAGTCACTCACACCAGTCACTCACACCAGTCACTCACACCAGTCACTCACACCAGTCACTCACAGCAGCCGCTCACACCAGTCACTCACACCAGTCACTCACACCAGTCACTCCCCCCCTTCATCACTCCCCCCCTTCATCACTCCCCCCCTTCATCACTCCCCCCCTTCATCACTCCCCCCCTTCATCACTCCCCCCCTTCATCACTCCCCCCCTTCATCACTCCCCCCCTTCATCACTCCCCCCCATCATCACTCCCCCCCTTCATCACTCCCCCCCATCATCACTCCCCCACAGTACAGCCCGCGTGACATGAACTCACGCGGTGGCGGTGCAGAAGGTGAGAGTGCAGCACAAGCTGGTGGGCGTCAGCGCCCTGTCGTGCAATGCACACCACCCCGTGCGCTCCCAACACCTCCTCCACCTGCCATGCGGTCCGGGGGGGTGGGGCGCATGGTGTGTATGGCACATGGGGGGTATGGCACATGGGGGGTATGGCACATCCGGGGATTGGGGCGGAAGGGTGAATTGGGGAGACAGGGGTGGGGGTGATTGGAGTATGTAGGGATGCGATGTGTGGAAAGGGTTACTTTGACAGCCTGGATGGACCTCATCAGGGCCGCTCTCACATTGCCACACCACGTCATGCCATACCACGTCATGCCATACCACGTCATGCCACACCACGTCATGCCATACCACGTCATGCCATACCACGTCATGCCACACCACGTCATGCCATACCACGTCATGCCACACCACGTCATGCCATACCACGTCATGCCACACCACGTCATGCCATACCACGTCATGCCACACCACGTCATGCCATACCACGTCATGCCATACCACGTCATGCCACACCACGTCATGCCACACCACGTCATGCCATACCACGTCATGCCATACCACGTCATGCCATACCACGTCATGCCACACCACGTCATGCCATACCACGTCATGCCACACCACGTCATGCCATACCACGTCATGCCACACCACGTCATGCCATACCACGTCATGCCACACCACGTCATGCCATACCACGTCATGCCATACCACGTCATGCCATACCACGTCATGCCACACCACGTCATGCCATACCACGTCATGCCACACCACGTCATGCCATACCACGTCATGCCACACCACGTCATGCCATACCACGTCATGCCACACCACGTCATGCCATACCACGTCATGCCATACCACGTCATGCCATACCACGTCATGCCATACCACGTCATGCCACACCACGTCATGCCATACCACGTCATGCCACACCACGTCATGCCATACCACGTCATGCCACACCACGTCACGCCATACCACGTCATGCCACACCACGTCATGCCATACCACGTCATGCCATACCACGTCATGCCACACCACGTCATGCCACACCACGTCATGCCATACCACGTCATGCCATACCACGTCATGCCATACCACGTCATGCCACACCACGTCATGCCATACCACGTCATGCCACACCACGTCATGCCATACCACGTCATGCCACACCACGTCATGCCATACCACGTCATGCCACACCACGTCATGCCATACCACGTCATGCCACACCACGTCATGCCATACCACGTCATGCCATACCACGTCATGCCATGCCATGTCATGCATTGACAACAGCTTCCCTTGGGATGCCTGGCATGGGAGCGGTGAGTGCCATGGATGGCAATGGCGAACTGACATGCTATGACAATGCCATCACATGCCATACCGTACAAAGCCATGCCATGCCTATCCCATGCCATATGCCATACCATGCACTGTCCTGCCATGCCATGCCATGCCATACCATAACCATACCATACCATAACCATACCATACCATACCATACCATACCATACCATACCATACCATACCATACCATACCATACCATACCATACCATACCATACCATACCATACCATACCATGCAATGCCATGCCATACGACACCACCACACATCAGTCACATGGGCAGCACACTCACACGCGCAGCACACTCACATGGGAGGGCACCCACACGCCCGGCTTGGTGAAGGACTGCAACAGGTCCGCCCCGCACACCAGCATCACCTGCACCCTCCCCTCGCCAACCCTCTGCCCCTCTGCTGCCTCTACCCCTTGCCCTCCCACTCCCCCACCGCTCTCCCTCATCTCGCCCGTCACGCCACTCGCCACCACTCCCATCAAATGCCGCTCGCCCTCTTCTCTCCTCGATTCCCCCACGCCGCTCACACCCTGCCCCCCATCGTCCTCTCCCTCCTCTCTATTTCCCCCTCCTTCCCTCCCTCCTACTGCGCCCCTTCCCCCTTCCCCGCCTCCCTTCCCTCCTTCCGCGCCTCTCCCCCACCCGCCGGTGCCAGCAGCAGCAGTGGGCAGCAGCGAGGGGGACTCACCCGTGGCGCCCTCAAGCGCCCACATGTGAGTGTGCAGAGGCGGGTGCGGCTGTGGGGATTCTGGGGAGGGTGGGTGTGGGTGTGAAGGTGTTGAAAAGGGTGGGAATGGGTGCGGATGCGAGGTTGGGTGTGGGGCAAGTGGCGATGAGGATGACTGGTTTCTCAGTGATGGTTGAGAATGCATGGGAGACAATGGGTGAGCGCCGGCGGATGGAGCTTGGGCGGCAGAGGATGGAGCTTGGGCGGCAGAGGATGGAGCTTGTGCGGCAGAGGATGGAGCTTGGGCGGCAGAGGATGGAGCTTGGGCGGCAGGGGATGGAGCTTGGGCGGCAGAGGATGGAGCTTGGGCGGCAGAGGATGGAGCTTGGGCGGCAGAGGAGGGTGTTGGAGCAGGCGGGGCATTGAGTGTTTGGTGCAGTCGTCGCAGCACACAGAGGGTGCGCTGGTAGCACTGCTGGGATGCCTGCACTCGGACCATGGGAACAGGCAGAGATGGCGGCAGAGAGGACGTTGGGAGGTGAGGGACGATAGCAGGAAGCCATGGAAATAGAGGGGAGGGGAAGGAGAGAGCAACAAAAAGCACATGAGGAAGTGAACCTGGACGGCTGTAAAGGAGAAGAGAGGACGCGGAGAGGGAACGACGTGCTGCACTGCTTTGCCAGGTGTTGCGACGTCACAGCAGTCAAGGATGGAAGACGGCGAGAAGATGCCGCCAACACAGCTTGATTTCACCCGCTGCCAGCAACCGCGCCGCCATGCATGCATGCATGCATGCATGTATGGAGAGAGGAGTGGGTGTGTGGGAGGTCACAAGAGCGTGACAGGCCAAGCCCACCTTCCAGGAACCTGCGCGCACGCACCTCCCAGGGGTCGACCATGATGAAGGGCGAATCAGCGCATGCCAGCTGGCACATGGCTACCCGCTCCTTGGCGGGGGCGAGGCCCTGTGGGGTGCGCGTGAGAAGAGAGGGCCGAGCGTGGGAAGGATGGAGAGGAGGAAGGGGCAGAGGATCAAAGGGGGCCGTGGGAGGGCGACAAGGGGCCGTGGGAGGGCGACAAGGGGCTGTGGGAGGGCGACAAGGGGCCACATTCAATTCAAGATGAGGGTCAGCAGCGAACGGAGGGCAGCCATGGCGATGAGATGCATGGCGATGAGATGCATGGCGATGAGATCAAACGCAAGAAGGCATGCTGATGCCCGCATGCATGCCACTATTTCATACTCGTGTCATTACAAGCGCACCTGTTTACCGTACTGGTCATTGACTGGCGACATGTACGCACCAACCACGTCCCACCCGCGGTCCTGCAGTGCATCCCGTGCCATCTCTGCAGACAAGGCGGGAGGGAGGGGCGAGGGGCAGCAGGGCGTTCCACCACACAAGTGACCTCAACAAACCTGATAGCCATGTCTTAGCCAGGTGAGAAGAGGCCATGCCTTAGCCATCGCCTCTTCTTTACGCCCCGAAAGAAGAGGGGATTGGGCAGTGAGAGACTGTTGGAGCGAGCAGGAAACAAGTGGCAGTGAGTGTGCAGAAGCAGGTCTGGCGAGCTTTCAGATGCCGCAGAGGCATTGGTGGTGAGACTCAAGTGCCAGAGTGACCTGGCATGTGGATGGTTGGAAGGAACCCTCGACTTCCACCCCCACCGCCAAGCCCTTTCAATGCGCTAGCATGGCTGCTCACTGCACATCATGGTGTAAAAAGTACGATCGATCACTGATCGTTCTCTTGTTGAAGAGATGAACTCAGATGGCTCTCTGCAATGCCCACCCTGACCTGAGCTGACTCCCCGTGGACCCTCTACCAGCCACCCACGCACCCAGCATCCTCAGGTGCATAATCGTGGGCGGGTTGAAGCTTCCAGGAAGCAGCAGAACCGCCTGAGGGTGGTCGCCAGGAGGCTGCCCTTTGAACAACGAGTTGCCGCTGGCGTCTTGCGGCCTACCAGTGCCTGCCACGTGGCACATGAGCTTGTCTAGCGGCAGGGGGGCGTGAAGCGCGCCTGATGTGCAGCACGCATGAGGGAGAGGAGAGGCGCATGGGATGGGAAGTCAAAAGGCAGGGTGGGAAGCAGGGCAAGCTGGGGAAGAGAGGGAGAGGACGTTGGGCTCTTACGAGGGCTTTAAAGAACAATTCAAGTGGAGAAAGAAGGGGCAAAAGTGCGGTTCGGAGATGGGAAGAGGCATCCTTGGATGGGAAAAGGCATGCACGGTCTAGTGACGTTCATCCAGATGTCGCCACTCGTGACATCAAATCAATTCCGCTCTATCAGCCAAACCGCCGCCACGTCTAGCAGAACGGCTTAGACCCGCGATTCTAGAAGCTGAGTCGAGCTCGCAACGCTGGGAGTGAAGATAACGGCTTGAGACGACTGCTGTTGACCTGAGTCCACGTCAACGGTCTTGACTGGACCTGAATTCGCGCGAGTCGAAAGCCACACCCACCGCACGTCAGCTCTACACGCGAACTCCTGCCGCCGCCGCCGCCGCAGCTGTCACTGCGATCCCGCACGCCATCGCCGCTGCAGCTCGCCTTCGACTCCTCGCGTTCGTCGCCAGCTGACACTGGAGCTGCAGACGACCTTGCCGGAGCTGCTTCTAGCGAGGTTGATGCTGCAGCTGCGGCGACACACGATGTGGCGGCTGCAGCGGCGCGCAGTGCGGGGAGGCGAGCTCGGAGCATGGACGCGAAGGCGCCAGCCATCGCGTGGTCACTGGATGGACGGATAGGAGGATGGGACAAAATTGAATGCGTCACGGCTGACGGGAGCCATCGAGAATGCAGATTTTCAACCGCTGGACAGTGTAGTCCGATACAACCACAATTGCAGTACTTGACAGATATTCGTGTAGCATCACAGAATGCAAAGCGATTCATACAGCATCAACAATGTAAGCATGGATCCTGAAATCAGTACAAATTCGAAGAGGATTGACGCATGCTGTTATTGTTTGCGACCCTAATATTTATTAGAGAGTGAAAATCCAAAAACAACGTACAAAACACAAAGGTTAACCCCTTGTTAGAAAGAAAATGGATGTCGGGAAACACGTGCCATCAGTGGCACACGGGCTGCAGCGGCTGCGCTCTGAGAGCATCGAAGTCGAGACTTGAGTCGAGGTCCTCGTCCAACTCGCCCACCACCGCTCTGCATCGTATTGCACGCGGGTGCAGACATATTGGCGGAGGGCAACGAATGGGGTGAGGAGAAGGCAGGAGGAGGTGCACAGGTGGAGAGAGAAGCGGAGGTAGTGGGGCGAGGGAGAAGGCACCGACGAGGGGGGATTGTGAGGAACGGGTACTTGATCGGCATGAGAGTGGAATTTTTTCACCAGCACAATGGTACACTCGTCTTCATCACACCCTCATGTCCCGCCCATGCCCCCATCAACCTCTCGTGTCCCGCCCATGCCCCCATCAACCTCTCATGTCCCGCCCATGCCCCCATCAACCTCTCATGTCCCGCCCATGCCCCCATCAACCTCTCATGTCCCGCCCATGCCCCCATCAACCTCTCGTGTCCCGCCCATGCCCCCATAAACCTCTCATGTCCCGCCCATGCCCCCATCAACCTCTCATGTCCCGCCCATGCCCCCATCAACCTCTCATGTCCCGCCCATGCTCCCATCAACCTCTCGTGTCCCGCCCATGCCCCCATAAACCTCTCATGTCCCGCCCATGCCCCCATCAACCTCTCATGTCCCGCCCATGCCCCCATCAACCTCTCATGTCCCGCCCATGCCCCCGTCAACCTCTCATGTCCCGCCCATGCCCCCATCAACCTCTCGTGTCCCGCCCATGCCCCCATCAACCTCTCATGTCCCGCCCATGCCCCCATCAACCTCTCATGTCCCGCCCATGCCCCCGTCAACCTCTCATGTCCCGCCCATGCCCCCATCAACCTCTCATGTCCCGCCATGCCCCCATCACCCCCTCATGTCCCGCCCATGCCCCCATCAGCCTCTCATGTCCCGCCCATGCCCCCATCAACCTCTCATGTCCCGCCCATGCCCCCGTCAACCTCTCATGTCCCGCCCATGCCCCCATCAACCTCTCGTGTCCTGCCATGCCCCCATCACCCCCTCATGTCCCGCCCATGCCCCCATCAGCCTCTCATGTCCCGCCCATGCCCCCATCAACCTCTCATGTCCCGCCCATGCCCCCATCACCCCCTCATGTCCCGCCCATGACCACATCACCCCCTCATGTCCCGCCCATGCCCCCATCAACCTCTCATGTCCCGCGATGCCCCCATCACCCCGTCATGTCTTGCCCATGTCCCCACCATCCCCCCACGAGGCGTACATGTTGTCACCGCGGATGATGTACAGCCCCAGCACCAGCTGCTCCACACCGTGCTGCACCGCGGAGGGGGAGACGTGACAAAAGAGAGCAACGCACAAAAGCCTTCTCTGAGGCGCCGCAACTCAACACTGACAGCTCCTCGTGAGCAAGCATGCCACCGCTGCTTGTTGCAGGGAGGCCTAGAGAGGGAGTCGGCCACAAGTGGGGGCTTCTTGGCGCGACCAGCAGAAGTGCAGAGGGAATGGGAGAGGCAGCAACCGGGAGAAGCGTAGGCGAGGTGGAGAGGACAAGGGGTAATGCAGACAAGGAAGATGAATGCAGCAACGGGATGCTTTAAAGGCAGCGAGAGAAATGTAGGGAAATAAAAATGGGCAGCCTTACGAGGATGTCACGCATGGAAGAAGCAGAGCGGGCAGGGCAGGGCGTTATAAAAAGAGAAAGGAGGAGGAAGGGGCCAGCAGAGACAGGAGGGAGGTGGACACAAGTGGGGTGTGATAGAAAAAAAGGTGGATGCTCAGGGTAGAAACGAGAAAGCGTGGGCATGAGGTGGCATGGCGGTGCGGTGGGAGTGAATACGGATGGAGGCATGGAGGCGGGCTTGCCTTGGTGGAGTAGACGCGCTCGTGTGACTCGTCCAGAATGATGTTGGTCGCCTGGTCAAACCCCTTCAGCACCCCCTGCACGTGCCAGCACGCACACGCACGCAGGAGAGCATGGGAGGTGTGATGTGAGAATAAAGTGGAGACACTTCAAGGAATCGCCAGGTTCAGTTGGAGTGGTGAATGAGGCTAAGAGAGGAAAAGCTGACAGCAGATTATTACCGGAAGCTTGTTGTTCTCGAAAGGCCTGTCTGAATGCTCGTCAAATGAGTGGAGTTGAACACTCCAAAATGGATGAGCGTGTCATCAGTACTGTTTCGAATAACAGTTTCGAAGAGTAGCTCTCACTCACCACGATGTTGCGGCCGTCATTGGTGATCACCGACACAGTCACTGCACACGCACACCACTCCTCCCCCTCCCCTCCGCGGACACCAGCCGCCCCTCCCCACGCCCCCCAACCACTCCCACACCCAAGGCCCCCACAGCCCTCTTCCCCTCCGCACAGCCCCTTTCCTCCCCGCGCCACACCCTCCAGTAGCCCCCGCCCAGTTGTTACCTCGCGCGCAAGCAACCACACAAGCAAATACACCAGCAGCACACGCACACACGGACGTTAGTTACGTGTATCGTCATTCACAACGGCAATTGCGCACACAAGTAGAGGGGAATACAGACAGATAACGGGTGTTGAGAGGTGAACGGACGGCAAATCACAGAGGCAGGGAAGCGGCGAGCGAGCGGACGGCGACTCACGGTCTACGTACGGCTCGAGGCCCGTCTCCTTCCCCTCCTTCCCCGCCATTCCGCAGGTATATGCGCAGCCGGTCAGCAGGTAGTTCGCAGCACAGCCGGCTCAGCCGGTTAGCCGGTCAGCCGGTACACACAGCCGGTGAGCAGGTACACACAGCCGGGCAGCAGGTAAGCCGCTGAGCTGCAGAGTCCTCGTGACGAGCCGCGGAAATCCTAGGTCGCGGTTGAGTCCACGATGAGATTTGATGTTGGGAATATGGGTCACTTTGGAGTGCTAGGGCAATGGCAAGCTCAGGTCAGTAGTTATCAGAGTATTTTATTCTATGAGCTCGACCGCTGGGGAGATGCTTGTGCGGCTTGGAGGCAGGAGCCTAGAATCTAGGTCTAACTAAGATCTGTCAACGGAACTGAAGTACTTACACGCGTGCTAAGTGAAGTGTTTAGCGCAAGCCTTGTGGAGGTTGGTCTAGGTTAGCATTAGGATGTCAACTGCACTCAGCTCAAGATCGTTCCGTCGAGCTCACGGGTCCAGAATCTGTCACGAGGCTTCGTGGCGAACAGTCAGAAAACGACTCAGGCCACTCAGTGGTTCAGGGGTTCGACCGGTGGAGCAAAGGTCGTCCGTAACACGCTTCGGGGCGCAATTGTACGCACCATTTCGACCAAGTGTCACGACTTTCCAAATAATAGGGAGCCCACATCGAACCAATGTGCAATCTAACCAAATTTCGTAACAAGGTTCGCCACAAAAGGTTTCGTTTGGCAAATTTTGGGACCTCTTTTAGATGTATGTTCACAAACCAGTGGTACCTTTAAATCGCACTAGCAGGCTCAGTGTATTGTCAACTCCACAAGTGGAACGCCAACAACGCGGATGCTGAATCTCGAGCAACGGTTCAGGGTTTGATATGAACAGACACCCAAGCAACCGTGACCTATCCCGCCTTTCACGTCAGGTCTCACGTTTTATCCGTGAGCTCCCGTGCCTTTTTTACGCTCCCATACTTTGTCCGACGCACCGCTGAAAAATGGCGTGCCAAATGGCGTCTCACGCGACCGCTGCCTTCGTTATGCCGGCCGCTGCAGCGCCTTTGAGCCAACCATCTAGCAGCGTTTCGTTGCCAGCCGCCTTACCCTGCCGCGCACTCTCGTCCCTCAGCTCCACTTCCCCGACTCTTACCTCGCTTTCCCGCCAATGCGCGCGCCAGACCTCCCGCCCCTCGCGATCTGCTAGCGCCGCGGCAGTCACTCCCGTCCGTGCGATGGCGGGCGGCGACGGATCTGAGCCGTCCGGGCGCATCATCCGCGGCAAGTGCTTCGTGCTGGAGGACAACATCGACACGGATCAGATCATTCCCGCCGAGTACCTAACGCTCGTGCCGTCCAACCCCGACGAGTACGAGAAGCTCGGGAGCTACGCGATGGCGGGGCTGCCCGCGAAGCACACGCTGCGGTACGTGCAGAAGGGGCAGATGAAGACGGAGTACGCCATCATCATCGGCGGGGCTAACTTCGGCTGCGGGTCGTCGCGCGAGCACGCGCCCGTTGCGCTCGGCGCGGCGGGCTGCCGCGCGGTGGTGGCGGAGTCGTACGCGCGGATTTTCTTCCGCAACTGCGTCGCGACCGGGGAGTTGTACCCGGTTGAGGCGGCGGAGGGACTTGGCGCGAGGCTGTGCGAGGTGATTAAGTCGGGGGATGAGGTGACTGTAGATCTGGAGCATGATCTGCTGATCCACCACACCACAGGCAAGCAGTACGCTCTGAAGCCCATTGGGGAAGCCGGGCCCGTGATTGACGCCGGGGGTATTTTCAACTTTGCCCGCCAATCTGGCATGATTGCCAACAAAGCTTGATTTTCCTGTGAGTGCTTCTATGGGGATTGAAGGGGTATTATTGGAAGTTTCAAGTGCCGCCAGGCCACATTGTTGCACTAATCTTTTGAAGCCATTCCATGCCAGCAACCCTTCGGTTGTCCTCATCGTATAGCACATCCCTATGGTTCTCATTTTCATACATTTGTAAGTACGGTAGGATGTATTCCGGTTAATATTGAGATTCCGTACATGCGCATCTGTCCAAGCTAGTGGAATTTCACTGATTTGGCACCAAAAATGTGCGATCCTTCTCTACCATCACTGATACTGGTAGATAATGATTGTTACAAATCTTTCAACTGCAGTAATCTCACAGTAAGGCAAAGTCAGTTGTCCACTGTTATTGTGCTGGCTCTGCAAAAGCGCCTGTTCAGAACGTGGATGCTACTGTTTCTGGCTCTGTAAACTAGCAGCTGCTCTGCACCAAATTTGAACCCTTACAGCTCCATACTTGTGCCCCTGCATGTACCTCTTAATGATTGTCCTGTACCTTAAACCCTGCACCTGTTTCTGCCTCTTCAACCTGTTACTGCATCTGTGCCGGTTCCTTCAACCCTGAACCTGTTAATTCTCCTTCAACACTGCACCTGTTCTCGCCCCTACAACCCTGCACCTGTTCCTGCGGCCCTACACCTGTTCTTGCTTGCCTGTTCCAAAACTCTTTCCCTATGACCAGCCCCTGAAACTGACACTTGACCTGCTAACCCTGTTCCCTGACCCTGCATGCTGCACACAAGCAGAACAAGATTCAGCCTGAACAAAAAAACAAACAAACAAATCCTGTCTTGCTACCCTGTAATCCTGCAAAACAAATGCCCTGCATCCCACAAAGAACATGCAAGCGCATGCCCATAAACCAGAGGGAGAACATAGAGGACCTCAGCACGGCCTCTCATGGTGCCACCCTGCACAAGGGCAATACACGAGGGATCTAAGAGAGAACACCAAAGCAGCACGTAGCACTTTAGGCCCCTGCTTGTCAGCAGAAAGGTCTCAAGTCTACATGTTGGTCTCAGCGAGCTTGGCGTCTTGGCATTGTTGAATGCCTGTGGAACAGCCACACAGATAGATGATGTCCTGACGACAGAATGAGGTGCTGCACCCACGTCCCCTGCAGATGAGGCCCTCAAAATCCGACTTCAAAGAAGATGCGCTAACATTGCCACCCTGCAGCTGCAGAAACACCCAAACAAGCACAACAGAAGGCCACAGCATACACCCTCAGGGGGGTTTCAGTGTGCCAGGCACTTAGTACTGCTGCGGAGGGTAGTCGCGCCTGTCCCCCCCGCCTCCTGCTCCGTACCCGTCATACTCGCGCCGCTCATGCTGCCCCTGCTGTGGAGGCAGCACCGGTGGCGCACCACCACCACCACCACCAGCGCCGTACCCTCCGTCCCTGCCGTCGCCCTGGTAACCGCCGTACCCCCCTGGCGCGCCCCTGTAGTCCCCTGCAGGAGGCCCGTATCCCCCCCGCGCGTCAACTGGCGCACCATAGTCACGCGGCGGAGCTCCGTCCTGGTACCCACCACCGCCGCCAGCGCCAGCACCATACGCATCGTAGCCTCCCCTGCCGCCGCCACCACCCCCCGCGCCTCCGCCATACCCGCCGTTGTACCCATCGTACCCACCCCCGCCTCCCCCCTGGTACCCTCCCCTGTCTGCGCCACCCCCGCGATCCCCTCCCTCGTACCCTCCGCCTCCCCCTCCGCCAGCAGGCGGCCTGTCCCGCTCCTCCCGCGCACGGTTCCACTGTTCGATCTTTGCGCGCCGTTCCGCGCTGCCCTCGCGCACGGGGCTTCTGCTGCGGCTGCGCGACCGCCGCCCGCGACGCCGGTCGTCGAAGCGGCGGTCGTCGTAGCGGTCGCGGCCCCGCCCTCCGCCGCCGTACCCGCCTCCGCGGCCGTAACCGCCGCCGCGACGGTCGTCATAACGGTCGTTTCTGCCGCCGCCGCCGCGAGGGGGGCTGCGGCTGCGGCTCCGCCTCCTGTCCCCGAAAAGCTTCCGTCGAAGCTCCCTGAAAGTAAATAAAACGTGTACCAAGAAATAAGTAAGATGTTGCAAATACCGTCGTGTGCACTAAGACGGCAATAGCACATGCAGAAAAGGATAAACAGCTTAAAAGCTGCATTTCCGTAGCGGAAAAAGAAGTTTCAAAGTGAAGGGCCGAGAGGGAGGCGGCGTGGGAAGGGCACCTGCTGATTTTCTTCAGGTGCATAAAGTTGCAGTAGCCGCCGCGGTTGCACGTGTTCTCCTCGTACTGCCGACACGTGGCCTCGCGGAAGTCGGTGACGGGCGAGAAGTCCACCAGAATGGGCCGCCCTGAGAGCACGTGAGAACGAAGCGGATTGTAAGGAGGATAGTGAGGCCGATCGTAAGGCGGATGGTGCGGAGGATGATGCGGCGGATGGTGCGGCCGAACACAAGGTGGATCATTTGCATGTGTGAGCGGCTAAGAGGACGCGGAAAAGGGCCAAAAAGAAGCTGCGTGACAAAGTAAGTAACGACGAGACACCAACCTGCATAAAAGCGGCCAGTGAGCGCCCTGAGAGCCGTCGCAGCCTGCTCCTCCTCGCGGAAGTTGACGTACACGTTGCCCACCTGCACGCGCATCACACACACGCCAAACGGTCAGTCAAACGCACGTAATCTCCCCAAGCAGCAAAGTATCGTGTAAAAAAAAAAAAACAACAGGTTGGGCAGCAGGACGTGGAGCAGGCAGCGAGAGGGTTGGCGAGCTGACCATGTGGTCGGCGAGGTTGTCGCAGATGTTGAGGCTGTTGAGCTCGCCGTACTTGCTGAGCTCCTCGAAAAGGTCCTCGTAAAAGTCCTCGTAGTGCTCCTGAATCTTCTTCGGATCCATCGTCTTGTCCGGCTCGCCGCCTGGTGTCGCCATGTCGGGCCGCTGGTACATGTTCGCCAGGAGAAGAGTCGGACTGATCGTCGGCCTGGCAGCGATAATGACAAGAGAAACATACAGAGCAGAAATGACGGTGCGATAAGAATGACAATATCGAGGCGAGACAGATAAAGGTTATAATGAAGCGGAACGGGAGGCACGAGGGGAGGAACGATGCGCTGCGGGAGTGGGTGAGTAGCGACAAAGGTGTCATGCAGCACCTGTTGTGAAGACGCGAGCAGCGATCGCCGTGGCGGCACGCGCCGATCTTGAAGTAGAAAGGACAGTTCACCCTGTCCTTCTCCGTGCCGAAGATGGACGCGAGATGTTCCGCCATGGCTGCACGAAACCTGTCGCACCCGTGCGTGGGTTACGGAAACAACGAGGGACGAGAGGCTGGTACTAGTATCCAGAACAAGAGGGGCGTTACTTACATAATCAGCTAATAAGAGGTAAATCCGATGGCTGACTACTTAGTTGTGCCTGCTCCATTGGATAACCCTCACAAGAAACTTGAGCAAAGGGTTGTGTAGGCGCTAGCAGCGATGGAATGGAAGCATCCAGAACTTTAACAGTTGGCTCGTCGCGAGCACGACGAGAGCATGGGCGAAAGATCGCCATGTTATGAGATACAAGCTACCATCAACAAGCACGAGTGGAAGTGAAAATTATATGGCATAGCGTTTACTTCCAAACCTCACTACCGAGTACCCGTTTCAAAACTTGAAGACCTCACAAACGCGTACGGGTTTCAAAGTTTGAATTCGAGCTGCACAGTACTACCAAAACTGCCACTCTCGTCTCATGAGATTGAAGCCGAGTTGCCAACACTAGTCGAATTCAAGTTGCGTACCTTATTTGTGGGAACGTGTGATTTTGAAGCCGCCATTCCCGTAGACCCAGTGTTTAGCACCCTCATGTTTCTCCGTTCTGGCCGTCCTTTCTATTCCTAAGATACTACTTATTCGTCACCATCTAATTTAGCATGCCTGCTCACTGTATGCCAGCAAATACAAACGATAATGTCGCCGATGGTAGCGATAACGCCAGCGGCAGGGGAACCATGATCCGAGCAATTGATAAGGCCGCCATTCACCGCATATGCTCGGGACAGGTGAGCCCGAATAGCTCAAGAGTTTAAACTACTCTAATGTTTTTATTGCAATAGCGCAGTTTCCTGCACGACGTCGTCTGCGGCGCGCAGTCTGTCGCACTCCCCCTACGCTCCTCTCGACCCGGAACCCCCCGTATTGTCTCCCGCTCGCCGCTCGTCTTTGGCCAAGTATAAATTTGGCGCGCGGATCACCGCACGCCTCGCCGCAGAGCACAGCCCTGACACGTGTTGAGAGGTTGCTGAACAGGAGTTTGAAACCCGTCGCAGTTGAGCCGACTCAAAAACATATTCTTTGTCGCCCCGCTAGTTCACACCTCGTCCTCGTGTGATTCAGGTGCCGCTGGGCCTGGCGACAGCGGGGAAGGAGCTCGGGAGAGCAGCCATTGTGATGCCCTTTCCGCCGCCTCCTGCTCCTCCACCCCCTCCTCCATCCGCCGACGCTGTGTCACGCAGGTGGTGCTGGACGTGGCAGCAGCAGTGAAGGAGCTGGTGGAGACCAGCCTCGACGCGGCAAAGCACCTGCTACTTCCTGCCTCCAAGTAACCCTTTCCCCCCTTCCTCCTCTCTCTGCTCTTGCAACCCTTACCCCGCGCAGGTGGTGCTGGACGTGGCAGGGGCGGTGAAGGAGGTGGGTGGAGACCAGCCTCGACGCGGCCTGTGAGAGACCTGCTCTTTTCCACCACTTAAACCCTGTTCAACCGCCCCTGCCCATCCCTCTCTCCATCCCACTCCCCCCCGTAGGTTGTGCTGGACGTGGCAGGCGCGGTGAAGGAGCTGGTGGAGAACAGCTTGGACGCGGGGGCGACGAGCGTGGAGGTGCGCCTCAAGGACTTCGGCGCAGAGCTCATCGAGGTGGCCGACAACGGCTGTGGGGTCGCGCCCCCCAACTGGCAGGTGACTCCTGAGCTGCCTAGGCAGCGTTGAGCGGGCTCTAAGGGCGGTCAAGGGGCGTTGAGGGCGGTCAATGGGCGTTGAGGGCGGTCAATGGGCGTTGAGGGCGGTCAATGGGCGTTGAGGGCGGTCAATGGGCAGCCTGGACGCGGGGGGCGCGAGTTTGGAGGTGTTGGTGAAAGAGTGGGGTGAGGAGCTCATTGAGGTGAGGAGCTCATTGAGGGGGCAGACGCCGCCTGTGGAGTTTCGCCTCCCAACTGGCAGGTGACGCCTTGGACTGGACTGCCCAAGGTTTCCTTAACGGTGGCCAAGGGGCGTTGCATTCGGTCACGAGGCGTTGAGGGCGGTCAAGGGGCGTTGAGGTGGGAGCAGAGCAGAGCGAGTGTGGCATGACGGGTGACAGCTGGTGAGTGAAGTCCTGAATAGTCCTGGGCTCTCACGGCCCGTGACTCACGGGAAAGGAAGTGTATTTTGAAAGCAAGGAGGTGTTGTGAGTGAGGGTGGTGCAGGGGACGTGTTGAGGGGAATGGGGGCGTTATTACAGGATTGCATCTTACGCTCTTGCCATCCGTCCATCCTCTTCTCGGCGTTTGAAGTGCTTCAGTGTTGGACCCTACATCCCTTCAGTGTTCCAGCCACTCCACCTGCCCTCCCCCATCTCTTCCCCCATCTCTCCCCACCGCGCACCACTGCAGATGCTGCCCCTCAAGTATTACACATCCAGATCGCCCACTTTTCCGACTGACTTGCAGTTGGACCAAGGTTCAACTTTGAGTCACTTAGGAAGGCATTGCTGTCGTCCCCTCCCCCGAACCTCCCTCACTGCACCACTGCAGGCACTGACCCTCAAGTACCACACGTCCAAGATCGCACACTTCTCCGACCTCCAATCGCTCTCCTCCTTCGGCTTCCGAGGGGAAGCCCTCTCCTCCCTCTGCGCCCTTGCTGACGTCACCATCACCACACGCACCGCGAACGAGCCAATCGCGATGCGCCTGGTGTTCGACCATGGGGGAAAGCTCCTGCCCGGGCCTCGGGAACAGGTCGCCCGGGCAGTCGGAACGACGGTCAGCGTGGCGAAGATTTTCTCGCCGCTGCCCGTGCGGCGGCGGGAGTTTGAGCGGAACGTGCGGCGCGAGTTTGCGAAGCTGGTGAGCGTCTTGCAGGCGTACTGCGTGGTGTCCACACACGCGCGCATCCTCTGCACCAATCAGAGCGGGCGCAGCAGCGCGCGCACCACTGTGGTGCAGACAGCTGGCACGGGGTCGATGCGCGAGAACATCATCGCTGTGTTTGGCGCCAAGGCTGCTGCGGGCCTCGACCCTGTCGACATCTCCTTCCCCCTCTCCCCTGCTTCCGCCGCTGCTGCCCCTCCTGCTCCTGCTACTCCTTCTCCCGCTGCTACTGGCACAGCTGCCACTACCCCTGCGCAGCTACCACCCTCCTGCTGCACAGTAACCGGGTTTCTATCAAGGCCAGGAGCGGGCAGTGGCAGGTCGGCGGGAGATCGGCAGTTCTTCTTCCTCAACGGCCGCCCGGTGGACCTGCCGCGCCTCTCCAAGCTGCTCAACGAGCTCTACCGCTCCTTCAACTCCCTGCAGTTCCCCGCCGCTTTCCTAAACGTTTCGCTTAGCGCGGACGCTTATGACGTGAACGTGACCCCGGATAAGCGCAAGGTGTTTTTGCACTCGGAGGCGGCGCTGCTGTCGGGGCTGAGGGCGGCGTTGTCAGAATTTTATTCTCCGGATAGATATGTCTACCGAGCCGCGCCGGCCGGTTCGGTGGGGAAGGCGATTGAGGAACGGGTGAGGAGGGAGGTTGGGGAGAAGGGACGGGTGAGAAGGGGTGTGCGGAGAGGGGTAGGGGATGGTGAGGATGAGGGGGAGGGTGTTGAGGAAGGAGAGGAAGAGGATGAGGGGAGGAGGAAGCGGGTGAGGGTGAGTGGTGGTCGTGGTGGTGGTGCTGCTGCGGGTGCAAGGGGAGGTTGTGCAATAGGAGATGCTGATGATGATGGGAGGGGGGGCGGGGGAGATGAGTTGAATGGGGAGATGGATGGGGATGGGCAGATGGAGGAGGCAGAAGGGGAGGGGGACAGAGGGCAACCTCCACATCAGTTTGATCGCGGAAAGGGAAGAGGGAAGGCAACGCGAGGGGGAGCAGTGGAGGAAGCAGCACATGAGGAAGCAGCACATGAGGAAGCAGCACATGAGGCGGCAGCACATGAGGAAGCAGCACATGAGGCGGCAGCATATGAGGAAGCAGCACATGAGGCGGCAGTCGGGGGGTTGGCAAGGGGAACAGGGGAAGCAGCTGGAGGGCGAGGAGAAGCCCGCAAGGCAGCAGCAGGGTCAGGAGGAAAAGGAGTCACAGCAGGTGGTGCAGCAGGGGCAGCAGGAGGGGGTGCTGGCACGCTGCAGTGGAGCGAGAGCAAGGCAGCCGCCATGCGCCGACTGCTGCTGCTCATGAGCCCCCAGGGCAAAGGCAAGGCCAAGGGCAAGGCCTTGGGTCTGGGTATGGGTGTGGGTGGGGGTGGGGGTGTGCACGTGGGTATGAGCGAGGACAGAGGCAAGGATGTGACGTTCAGTGGTGGCACAGCGGACAGGAGGTCGCTGTCTCGGGGGGCAGTGAGTGGTGGGGAGCAGGCACGTGCTTGGCAGGGGTATGCGACGCGACACATGACAGGTGTTGAGCGGGAGAGAGACCGGCAGAGGGTGCAGCAAGAGGAGGAAGAGGAAGCAGAAGCGGAAGAGGAAGAGCAAGTGGAAGCGGAAGAGCCAGAGAAAGAAGAGGAGGAAGAGGAGGAAGAGGAGGAAGTGGAGGAAGAGGAGGAAGAGGAGAGGGAGAGTAAGGGAGGCAATGTGGGCAGAAGGAATGGCAGCAGCAGGGCAGTGAGGGGAGGAGGACAGCGTTCCATGGGGGGGGTTGCTACTCAGGCGCAGGGGATGGGCAGGGAGAGGATCGGGAGGGGAAGGTTGCGGGGAGAGAGCAGTGAAGGGGTGGAAAGGGCGCAGGGAGGTGCGGATGGGAGACAGGTGGGTCTTGATGCTTGGCTGGGAAAGGGGGTTGGGGGGGGACGAGGGGGAAGGGGAAGCGAGAGAGGCAAGATGGGCGAAGTGGATGGGGGGAGTGTGAGGGGGAGAGCTGGGGATGGTTGGGCGGGGCAGGGTGGCATGGAGCTGGTAGGGAAATTAGTGGAGAGAGAGGAGGATGAGGATAGTGAGGAGGTAAGGGAAGTGGGGCAGGTAGAAGGGGAAGGAGGGGGAATGCCAGCAGAAAAAGGCGAGAATCACGATGCAGGAACGAATGATGCTGCTCAATGTGGTGGGGTTCATGCTGGCTTACAGGAGGCAACCCGGGATGAGTGGGCAGGAAAAAATGTTCTGGATCTGCCCCTAATGACGCAAGAGATGACTCAGGCTGACCTGCCCGAACTTGTGGGCTCACAACTGCTGCCCGGCACCCAGTTGGCCGGGCAGCAGGAAAGTTCTGCGGTAGCAGATGGGGCAGGGAAGGGAAGGTGTTGCGGCGGGGATGCAGGGGAGTTGGAAGGAGAGGAGGGAGGAGAGGGAGGCGAGGGAGGGGATAGAATGGGAGGAATAGAAGCGGGATGGGGGGCTGCATTGGGCACGACGCGAGTGGCACGGTCAGGGGAAAGGTGGGCGGTGAAGGGCGCAGAGGGCAGCGTGCAGGTGCCGTTTGACATGCGGCGCGTGCAGCAGGTGTGGCGCAGACGAGCTGAGATACAGGGGAGAGAGGCGAGGGAGGAGAGTGCAGGGAGAGAGGGGAGAAGGGGAGTGGCAGGGAGAGGGAAGGGCGAGGGGCGGAGGAGCTTTGCAGCAGCGTCGGTGGCAGATGGTGTGAGTAACCCTGCCCACAGCAGTGGTGGATGGAAGATTCAGCATGAGGGGGAGGCCAAGGAGGCGGCATTGGAGGCGGCAGCGAGGGAGTTAGAGAGACGGTTTGACAAGCGCGACTTTGCTAGCATGGCTGTGATTGGCCAGTTCAACCTTGGGTTCATCATTGGACGGCTGGGATCTGATCTCTTCATCGTGGACCAGGTACAGCATGCATAGTGTGAGTTACGGTGCGGTTTCGGCCTGATCTCACTCATCCCTACTGCCCATCACGTATGTGCATGCAACCGTCCCTATCTCATCCCATCTCTACCTCTCACCATCATCTCATGTCCCATCGTCTCACCCTCACCTTCCCGATGCACCATCAGCATGCGTCCGACGAGAAGTTCAACTTTGAGCGCCTCATGCGATGCACCGTGCTCAACAAGCAGCCGCTGCTCGTGTGAGTGGTGAGGGCGTGAGTGTGAGTGGTGAGGGCGTGAGTGTGAGTGGTGAGGGCGTGAGTGTGAGTGGTGAGAGCGTGAGTGTGAGTGGTGAGGGCGTGAGTGTGAGTGGTGAGGGCGTGAGTGTGAGTGGTGAGGGCGTGAGTGTGGTGTGAGTGGTGAGGGCGTGAGTGTGAGTGGTGAGGGCGTGAGTGTGAGTGGTGAGGGCGAATGAGGGGTTGTCCCAAGTGGTTGAATGCTTTGAAAGTTGCTTTGAATGCTCCGTCTAATCCATACTCTTCAACAAGCTGCCATGCTCTTCAACAAGCTGCCATGCTCTTCAACAAGCTGCCATGCTCTTCAACAAGCTGCCATGCTCTTCAACAAGCTGCCATGCCCTTCAACAAGCTGCCATGCCCTTCGACAAGCTGCCAGCGATGCTATTGAGGCGGGACGGCATATCTGTATCTCATCTTGGAGTCAAATTGTTGTCAAATAGGCAAGAACATTGTTGTCCCACCTAGTTGCTGCTCGCCTATTTTCTTTGTTACTCCCTCGTCTCTCGAGCCCGCATCTCGTTCTTCCATAATAAGTTTTGCTTGTCTCTGCTTGCTCTTATCAATGATGCACCTCCCCGTGCAGGCCTCAACGGCTGGATCTGTCACCAGCAGAAGAAGTGATTGTGTCAGCACACATGCCCACATTCAGGTGCACACATGCCCACATTCAGGTGCGCACACTTGTAGGGCACACATGTGGTTTCCACTTCCTCTTCCATCGACTGCCTGTCTCTTTTGCCCTCCCCTCTGCACCCATCTCCCCCTGCACTCACTCCCTTGTACAACCGGGACATCTCTCCGTCACGCCCTTCCCTCCACTACTGACTGCATCGATCATTCAGGTCTCCTTGACCTACACTTGACAGTCCTCATGCGCTCCTCCTCCTTTCCTCTGTCTGCATTGACTCTTCAGTCCTGTCCTTGTCTTCAAACTCAACCTCACTTTACCCCTCCCATCAGATCCAACGGCTTCCATTTCTCCGTTGATGAGAGTGCTCCATCTGGCCGTCGGTTCCGCCTCTCTGCCGTTCCTTTCTCGAAGAACATCGTATTTGGTGCTTCGGGTGAGTCTGGCTTGTGATCGGTTCGCATCACCTGGTGCCCTTTGTTTCTCAGGAGCTTTTAAACGGGATAAGTTCCGCATTTATTTCGGTTACATACCTAACTCATATGCTGATACACTACCAGACGTGCAAGAGTTGTGCATCTGCCAATGTGTTTCGCTCATTAGAATCTGCCATATTTCGTCATTGTACGCTTTGGCCCTCGTAATTTTAATGCTCCTCCTGCTAATATGTGATGTTTTTGTTTGTTTTCCTCGCTTCATCCAGATGTGTGCGAGCTCATTTCAATGCTAGCAGATGCGCCCCTGCCTGACCCAGAATCTGCTGCTGGCGCTGCCTCTGTCCCTGATGCTATCTGCTGGCATGCAACCACTGCCACAAAACATGCAAAGGGTGCTGCATCTGGTGGCGGAAACCACCAAGAAGCTTCTCTGCATGATAACTCAGCAAGCTCACCACAAGCAAGGCGCAGTGAGATTAACAACGCGAGCAGCACGGCTGGGGGTGCTTCTCCACGGGACAGGAAGTCTGGAGCTGCAGCGGTACCAGCGACATCACCATCGGCATCGCCATCAACGGTTGTGGCGGTGCGGCCATCACGGGTGCGGGCCGTGCTGGCTTCAAGGGCGTGCAGGAGCTCCGTGATGATTGGCACGGCACTCAGCCAGGCGCAGATGAGCAAGGTATGACGATTCGTCCATCCATGCGTGGCGCTTTTCACAGCTAGCATTCTCTCCTTTTGTTTATTTCTGCTGTGTCAATATTGACCAAATATTAGACTACTTTTGCATGGTGTTGCAGATCCTATGCCAGCTGTCAACGTTGCAGTCACCTTGGAATTGTCCCCATGGTCGACCAACCATGCGCCACCTGTTCGACTTGAGACTTTTAGAGAAGAGCGTGCAAGACATGGATATATTATAGTTCCGGGAATTGCTGTAGTTCCGTCAAAATCTCTTGTACAGAAGTGTACAGTCGAACTGTACATGACCGATTAAGTGATTGAAAGTGAATGACTACTGCATATTCATACAAATTAGTTGTACTATGCGCATTGGCTTTTTGTTTTTGAGAGATATATAACCTCAATTCAGTGTTCTGCCAGCCAACAGCTTCTCACCCAGCAGAGAAACCCCGTCATAACGAGTTCGCCTGCTTCCGCGAGCCTCCGAGGAAGGAAGGCGGAAGCAACGAATAGCGCCTATCGAACATTCTAGAAGCTCGATCACCGTTAGATCAATCCCAGCACGCTAGCCAATGGCTGTGCTGCAGCTTCACGCTAAGGCCGAGTCGCACAATTTTGAATTGCGGTTCCCGCATCGCATCAGTAAAAGTATATATGGTAAGAGTCCTCCCCATCGTCATCAAACAAATTGTCAATCACCAACTACTCTTGCTCTCTTGCTCACACAAGCACTAACGCTTCGATTAGCATTCCTGGAAAAATATCGCAGGTCGATCAGCTGTTAAGAGTTTCCTAACTTCACTCGACTTTCCCGCTGCTGAGAAGCTGATATCTGTCGCGCTTCATCTTCTACGTTCAAGTTCAATCCTCGAATCCCAATGGCTCCCACCAACAACTGCGCGTGCAGCAGCGCCTGCGCCTGTTCCGCGCGCAACAATGCATGCGCCTGCAAGACGACAACCGCCGCCACTTGTGCCTGCAGCAGCGGCGCCGAGTGCAGGTGCGGCTCGGGCTGCGCGTGTGACTCGTGCACGTGCCGCTCCGCCGGGAGCGCCGGAGGAACCGGCGTAGGGTGCGGCGGAAGTAACGCGAGCGCCGGCACTTGCGCCTCTGGCGAGAGCTGCTGCTGCGGGGCAGGCTGCTCCGGCGCGGGCTGCGCGTGCGGGGGGCAGGCGGGAGGAAAGTGCGCGTCCGGGGCTAACTGCAGCTGCGGAAAGGGTTGCTTAGGCGCGGGGTGCGCTTGCGGAAATGGCGGAAGTGGCGGATGCGCGTCTGGCGCTAACTACCGCTGTGGGGAGAGCTGCTCTGGCGGAGGGTGCGCTTGCGGAGAGACTGGGGGAGTGAAGTGCGCGTCTGGCGCTAGTTGCGGCTGCGGAGAGAAGTGCTCAGGCGCAGGATGTTCGTGCAAGTAGGTTTCAGGATGAATGTGCTGTGAGGTTGCTGTGAGAAGAGAGCAGCATAGGATGCACGGCTAGTGTAACTCATGTGGTTGCCCTTTTGGTTGTGTGGTAATGATTTCAAGAAATTGAACACAGCAATATGTGTGTAATGCAAACAACCCAACCTGCCTCATGGCCATAAAGCGCTGGTATTGTAGTACTAGGCTGGCGGAGTATGGAACTGTTTCTCCCTATCTCTCCCATAGTAGCCATGGATGAATCACTCCCATGGTACCGTACTTCCGAGCAGCAGAGACCGGGCACAAGATAGTTGTCGCTGTGGTTCAATCATCTAATGTTCAGGGTTTAGGGTTGTTAGAAATGGACTAAAATACCAAATACACTGAAGATGTTCGGATTTCTTGCCGGCTGCTTGACACTCACGTCCACAACTGTGCATGCCCAAATGATTTTGGGCGCCTCAAGAAGTAGAATCCAGAGATGAGCCCAATACAGAGGCACAGGAGCGTGAGACCCAGATTGCATGCCGCCTACTTGACAGAGGCGTTCACAATGGTGGATGTGCACGGCCCTGCTGTCGTCATCATGGGCGTGTCCTGGAACTTGGCCACCCCCGTGCCGTCCGTGCGCAGAAACTGACGTGCACGGGAGGGGGAAAGGTTGCACAGGAGGGGAAGCAAAGAAGGGAGGAACAAAAGATTGTCATCATGGGCGTGTCCTGGAACTTGGCCACCCCCGTGCCGTCTGTGCGCAGAAACTGGAGGGGCGCACAAGGGGCGGGGGTTGGGGGCCAAGGGGGGATCAGAGGGGGCAAGTAAGGGCTGAGGGGGGGAATGCGACCAAGTGGGGCCCTGGAAAGCGGGTATGGAGAGTTAGGAGGGAGCAATGACATGCAAGCAAGGGGACACGAGAAGGCATGGAGCAGGGAGACAAATGTCTGCAATGGCTGTAGCAGCAGCAAGGCACGCACTGGCTGTAGCTTCTCGAAGAGCTTCTTCTTGGGGTTGAGCACCTCCTCTGCCTTGCCGTCCACTCTGTGTGATGCGGGATTGGACATGTTGGGGGGTAACGTGTGTGGGGTACAAGGAGGGGGTATGGGGGAATGGGCAGGAGGGGCCGCAATGTGGGTGGGGGGCAATGGTGGGTGGGGATAAGAGGGAGGGATGAAGAGGAGGGATGAAAGGAGGAATTCTCGCCAATTGCTGCTACCCCTTGGCCCTAACATTAGCGAGACCCTCCACTTTGCCACTCTTTACTCCCCTCCCTGACCACACCCTGTTGTCCGCCCTTGACTCTCTTCCCCATTTCCCAATACCACTCTTCCCTCTCGTCTCTCTTTCCTGATTGCCCGCCTTCCCCTTCATCCCCTCTTGCTTTTCTCTTGCTCTACCGTCCATCCTCCCCGCCTCACCCAGCGAACGTGATCTTCTCGCCGATGGCAGCCCCCTCTGGGGGTTGCACGGGGCGGCACACCGTGTGGTCCTCGTTGGACGCACACAGCACCTGCGAGGCACACAGAGGGGTGGAGGGAGCGAAGGCGGGAAGGTGGCATTTGGTGGACTTAAGAGCTCTCGGGTTGTTGCACAGGGCGGAACACGGTGTGGTCCGCGTTAGATGCAGACAGCACTGGAGAACCATGGGGAGTGGAAGGAGGAGTGGGTATGGGGAAGTGGGAAACGGGGTAAAGAGGGGTTGGGGTGGGAGGACTGGGAAAGGTGGGGATCTTGTGATAGCACGAGGGCGGCCGCTGATGGCCTGGAGAAGCAAGAAAATGCATCAAGAACGCATACCAGAATATTGATTAATTAGTGAAGGAAGTTGTGGATGCTTCAAGTACTTCCCCACTCCACAAGATACAGCAGTTTCAGGAGCAAAGGGACGGATAGGCAGTATGCAAAGGGCGTATCCGTTCTTCAACTATTGTCAACAGGACATGGCGGTTTGCAGGAGGAGAGAGAGAGGCTTCATGCACGCACCAGGCCGGCCGATACAACGTCCCTCACTTTCCCCGGCTTCACGTTTGTGAGCACCACCACCCGCATGCCCTGCGTGCAGTCACATGCACAGACGCACATGGAGGGACAAGGAAGGGCTGCGGGTCAGTGCTCTGCACTCGCTGCTGTCACTCTCTCTAGTTTCACGCCACCAGCATGCCCCGCTCGCTCACATGGCGAAAACAAAGGACTGCTTGCACAGGACAAATGGAAAGCAGAAGAGAGAAAGAAGGGTAAGTGGATACGATGTCGCTTAGGCTTCCAGCTGACCCACCACCACCACCTTTAGCACCATCACCCCTCTTCTTATCGTTCCCGCTTCTCATCATCAACCCCCCCCCCCCTCTTGCCATTATCTTGTCCTGCGTGGCGAACTTGACCAGCCCACTAACGAGCAGCTCACATTGCCTGGCCAGCTCACTTGATGTGCGTTCACCCACACCTTGACTCCAGGCTTCTCACCACCATCACCTCTCCCTCTCACCATCACCTCTCCCTCTCACCACCATCAGCTCTCCCTCTCACCACCATCACCTCTCCCTCTCACCACCATCACCTCTCCCTCTCACCATCATCTCGTCCTCTGTGACGAACTTGGCGAGCCCACTGACCACCTGCCGCACACTGCCCTCGCCCACGTCTATCTCCTCCACGTACAGCCTGCAGAGGAAGAGGGGAGGGAGAGGATGAGAGATGAGGAGAGACATGCATGCAGCAAAGCATGGGCTTGTTGCACGCACTGCCCTCGCCCACGTTTATCTCCTCCACTCCACATACAGCCTGCAGAGGAAGAGGGGAGGGAGACGATGAGAGATGAGTAGAGACATGCATGCAGCAAAGCATGGGCTTGTTGCATGCACTGCCCTCGCCCACGTGTATCTCCTCCACGTATAGTCTGCAGGGGAAGAGTGAAGGGAGAGGAGGAGAGGAGACGAGAGGAGAGGAGACGAGAGGAGAGGAGAGGCGAGGCGAGGCAAGGCGAGGCGAAGCGAGGAGCGGTGAGGAGCGGAGAGGGGAGGAGAGGGGAGGGGAGGGGAGAGGAGGGGAGGGGAGGGGAGGGGCGGGGCGGGGCGGTTCGGGGCGGGGCAAGTAGCGTGAGGAGTGGTGACATGCTACTGCAGCAACAACGTTTCACTACGAAAATTTGTTCTTGGCTGGGAGCACGGGGCGGGGGGCAAGAGGCTGGGAGGGTGGGAACAAAAAGGCAGGGAGAAAGGAGCACTTTTGAGAATTCTCAAAAGTGATTCAGATGGAGTGAGAAGCTAGAGGGTGGGAGCAAGAGGTGCTTACGCGTCTGCATTGGGGTGTTTCCACACTTTCTTGATCTGCCCCACTCGTATGTCCAATATCCCCACACTCACATCCGCCCCCTTCCCTCCCCCTGCACCCGCCCCTTCCTTCGCTTCACCCTTCTTCTCCTCCCCCTTGCCCTTCTTCTCGTCCTTCCCCTTCCCCTTGCCTGCCGCGTCACCCTGACAGAAGCAGAGGGAAGTGGGATATGGAAGATGCAATGATATCAAGCTCACATGGTCGGCAGCATGGTCACAATGTGATCGTTTCGTGAGTCACATGGCCTGTTTCCTTCGGCTTCAGTTGCCATCCAACATCCAATGCACTGCGTTGGTAAAGGATTTGCTCGGTGCTCGGTTCAAGGATTTGCGCAACAAGTGTGCTGCAGCATGGCAAGATCCTTTAAGAGTCCCAATAATCACAAAACACGTGCGCTGTATCCCCTTTCCCCCCACTGTGTGCCTCCACAACACGATTTCTTGCAGCAAGGGCAGTTTGGGCTTGCCGAGGCACACAAGAGACCAAGAGACCGGTGAAACACGGCCTTGCCATACCCACAAGCTTCTCATAATCCAAGCACCATAAGGGCTGCTCCACGTAACACCACACACGCTCGTCACCACACACATTCCCTTCACAAATTCGCAAGACTGGGTCAAACACACTCGCCTCTCACCTGTGGTGCGGCAGTGGTGGAAGGGGCAGCAGCCGGAGCAGCTGCTGATGATGAAGCTTCTGCCGGGGCTGCAGCTGCCTTCCCTGCTGCTGCTGTGGAAGGCTTGGCACCTCCCGAACCTGATGACTGGCTCGGCTGCGCTGCAGGTTTGGCAGGAAGAGGAACCGGTGCCTGGTATGGTGGAGTCAGAAGAGCATGTCATACATGCCATACATCCCATCCCACACATGCCACACATGCCATACATATCACACATGTCACACATGCCACACATGCCACACATGCCACACATGTCACACATGCCACACATGCCACACATGCCACACATGCCACACATGCCATACATGTCACACATGCCATACATGTCACGCATGCCATACATGTCACACATGCCATACATGTCACACATGCCATGCCATGCAGCACATGGATCACCAACAGCACATGCAAGTGAGCGTCCAATGTTGGTTCAGCCCAAGAGTCCAAAGCAGCGAGTCGGTTAGAAGGGATCCCCATCATGGAAACAGGCCATTCGAAGCCGAGTCGAGTTAAGCGAACGGCAATCTCGAGCACAGCAGAAGAAACCAAGGCAGCAGCAGGATAAAAAAAACACAACACAGTCATTTGCCCTTTAATTTTGCCTGCGTGTGAGCGAGCCGATGCCATGCCTCAATGCTTTTGTGTGCGTGTGGGTGCAGTGCACGCCTGTGTGTCTATGCGCGCGCGTGTGTGTCTATGCGCGTGTGTGTGTCTATGCGCACGCCTGTGTGTCTATGCGCACGCGTGTGTGTCTATGCGCACGCCTGTGTGTCTATGCGCACGCGTGTGTGTCTATGCGCGCGCGTGTGTGTCTATGCGCACGCGCGTGTGTCTATGCGCACGCCTGTGTGTCTATGCGCACGCCTGTGTGTCTATGCGCACGCGTGTGTGTCTATGCGCACGCCTGTGTGTCTATGCGCACGCCTGTGTGTCTATGCGCGCGCGTGTGTGTCTATGCGCACGCCTGTGTGTCTATGCGCACGCGTGTGTGTCTATGCGCACGCGCGTGTGTCTATGCGCACGCGTGTGTGTCTATGCGCGCGCGTGTGTGTCTATGCGCACGCCTGTGTGTCTATGCGCACGCCTGTGTGTCTATGCGCACGCCTGTGTGTCTATGCGCACGCGTGTGTGTCTATGCGCGCACGCGTGTGTGTCTATGCGCACGCGCGTGTGTCTATGCGCACGCGCGTGTGTCTATGCGCACGCGTGTGTGTCTATGCGCACGCGTGTGTGTCTATGCGCACGCGTGTGTGTCTATGCGCACGCCTGTGTGTCTATGCGCACGCCTGTGTGTCTATGCGCACGCCTGTGTGTCTATGCGCACGCCTGTGTGTCTATGCGCACGCGTGTGTGTCTATGCGCACGCGTGTGTGTCAATGCGCGCGCGTGTGTGTCTATGCGCACGCCTGTGTGTCTATGCGCGCGCGTGTGTGTCTATGCGCACGCCTGTGTGTCTATGCGCACGCCTGTGTGTCTATGCGCACGCGTGTGTGTCTATGCGCACGCCTGTGTGTCTATGCGCACGCCTGTGTGTCTATGCGCACGCGTGTGTGTCTATGCGCGCACGCGTGTGTGTCTATGCGCACGCGCGTGTGTCTATGCGCACGCGCGTGTGTCTATGCGCACGCGTGTGTGTCTATGCGCACGCGTGTGTGTCTATGCGCACGCGTGTGTGTCTATGCGCGCGCGTGTGTGTCTATGCGCACGCGCGTGTGTCTATGCGCACGCGCGTGTGTCTATGCGCACGCGTGTGTGTCTATGCGCACGCGTGTGTGTCTATGCGCACGCGTGTGTGTCTATGCGCACGCCTGTGTGTCTATGCGCACGCCTGTGTGTCTATGCGCACGCCTGTGTGTCTATGCGCACGCCTGTGTGTCTATGCGCACGCGTGTGTGTCTATGCGCACGCGTGTGTGTCTATGCGCGCGCGTGTGTGTCTATGCGCACGCCTGTGTGTCTATGCGCGCGCGTGTGTGTCTATGCGCACGCCTGTGTGTCTATGCGCACGCCTGTGTGTCTATGCGCACGCGTGTGTGTCTATGCGCACGCCTGTGTGTCTATGCGCACGCCTGTGTGTCTATGCGCACGCGTGTGTGTCTATGCGCGCACGCGTGTGTGTCTATGCGCACGCGCGTGTGTCTATGCGCACGCGCGTGTGTCTATGCGCACGCGTGTGTGTCTATGCGCACGCGTGTGTGTCTATGCGCGCGCGTGTGTGTCTATGCGCACGCCTGTGTGTCTATGCGCACGCCTGTGTGTCTATGCGCACGCCTGTGTGTCTATGCGCACGCCTGTGTGTCTATGCGCACGCCTGTGTGTCTATGCGCACGCGTGTGTGTCTATGCGCGCACGCGTGTGTGTCTATGCGCACGCGCGTGTGTCTATGCGCACGCGCGTGTGTCTATGCGCACGCGTGTGTGTCTATGCGCACGCGTGTGTGTCTATGCGCACGCGTGTGTGTCTATGCGCACGCCTGTGTGTCTATGCGCACGCCTGTGTGTCTATGCGCACGCCTGTGTGTCTATGCGCACGCCTGTGTGTCTATGCGCACGCGTGTGTGTCTATGCGCACGCGTGTGTGTCTATGCGCGCGCGTGTGTGTCTATGCGCACGCCTGTGTGTCTATGCGCGCGCGTGTGTGTCTATGCGCACGCCTGTGTGTCTATGCGCACGCCTGTGTGTCTATGCGCACGCCTGTGTGTCTATGCGCACGCGTGTGTGTCTATGCGCACGCGTGTGTGTCTATGCGCGCACGCGTGTGTGTCTATGCGCACGCGCGTGTGTCTATGCGCACGCGCGTGTGTCTATGCGCACGCGTGTGTGTCTATGCGCACGCGTGTGTGTCTATGCGCGCGCGTGTGTGTCTATGCGCACGCCTGTGTGTCTATGCGCACGCCTGTGTGTCTATGCGCACGCCTGTGTGTCTATGCGCACGCCTGTGTGTCTATGCGCACGCCTGTGTGTCTATGCGCACGCCTGTGTGTCTATGCGCACGCGTGTGTGTCTATGCGCGCACGCGTGTGTGTCTATGCGCACGCGCGTGTGTCTATGCGCACGCGCGTGTGTCTATGCGCACGCGTGTGTGTCTATGCGCACGCGTGTGTGTCTATGCGCACGCGTGTGTGTCTATGCGCACGCCTGTGTGTCTATGCGCACGCCTGTGTGTCTATGCGCACGCCTGTGTGTCTATGCGCACGCCTGTGTGTCTATGCGCACGCGTGTGTGTCTATGCGCACGCGTGTGTGTCTATGCGCGCGCGTGTGTGTCTATGCGCACGCCTGTGTGTCTATGCGCACGCGTGTGTGTCTATGCGCGCGCGTGTGTGTCTATGCGCACGCCTGTGTGTCTATGCGCACGCCTGTGTGTCTATGCGCACGCCTGTGTGTCTATGCGCACGCCTGTGTGTCTATGCGCACGCGTGTGTGTCTATGCGCGCACGCGTGTGTGTCTATGCGCACGCGCGTGTGTCTATGCGCACGCGCGTGTGTCTATGCGCACGCGTGTGTGTCTATGCGCACGCGTGTGTGTCTATGCGCGCGCATGTGTGTCTATGCGCACGCCTGTGTGTCTATGCGCACGCCTGTGTGTCTATGCGCACGCCTGTGTGTCTATGCGCACGCCTGTGTGTCTATGCGCACGCGTGTGTGTCTATGCGCGCACGCGTGTGTGTCTATGCGCACGCGCGTGTGTCTATGCGCACGCGCGTGTGTCTATGCGCACGCGTGTGTGTCTATGCGCACGCGTGTGTGTCTATGCGCACGCTGTGTGTCTATGCGCACGCCTGTGTGTCTATGCGCACGCCTGTGTGTCTATGCGCACGCCTGTGTGTCTATGCGCACGCCTGTGTGTCTAT